TAAAATGATACATAAGAATGAAAAACGTTTCTAGTATTAAAACATATTTACCAGTGATTTCTTCATAAAAATTGTAAGAAGTTAAGTGTTTTGTGTACTCTTTCAAATAAAGCCCCAAAAAATATATGTCACCGAACATTCAAAAATTTATTAGCAAATTTGTTTTTTTCTCATTTGTTTAAAAAAAAGTTGTCTTTCTTTAGAACACTGAATTAGACGTCGTAGTACAAGTTTTCCCTCAAATATCGGTAAACGGACGTTTGAAATCCACATTCAAAGTTTCAAGTATAGCAACAATATACACAGATAAATGGAAGTTGGAAGAAGTACAATTGCAAAAATGACATTGAAGATAAAGGACATTTTTTACTTAAATGTCCTAAATTCCACGAAAAGCGCAAGGAATATTTAGATAATGTTAAAACATTGAGGGTACCAAATTTAAAGGCATTTAGTGATACATCTAAAGTCTGGCTCGTAAGTACGAAAGCGTATATGGACCTCATATTAGTTATCTAATAACGCGAATGGCAACTCAAATAAGGTCTCTTACGGTAGATCGGCCGGGTGTCTTTTTCTGAGCATCCCGTCTGGGTATGTTGCAAAAATACTTTTTTGTTTTAAAAGTATTTTACCAAGTATCATTTAATATTCAACAAAAACATATAAAACTTGAAATTTAAAGAATAGACTATCAAAAAATGAAGTGTTCGTTAAGGTATTTAAAATTTTACGAAAAAAATTCTTTTAAAATCAAGGACAGATAACTATATTGAATTTGATAGAACAATTTTTTTTTAATTCTGTAGGTAACTTTTTTTTTGACATTTCAGATGTAGGGAATTTATCAAAAGCAATTCTCCCATTGAATTTTAACCAATTCTATCATTTATTGACTCATCAATAAAGAAGTTTAAGAAAAATCTTTCTTCGAACATTAAGACACCTCGCGGTTATCTAAAATACCTTATAGTGCAAGAAGACGCAGTTTATTTATATCCATGCATATATCAAATTATAAAGCATTAAGATGATGTTTTTTGAAGTAGCGTTCTGTCTTATAAATGTATAGGTCATTTTATTTTACATTATTTACATATTTTTTTTTGTAAATTAAGGATAATAAAATAAGACACATACTAATTTCAATAAAAAGCAATAAGCCGCTTTTATCAGTATACATGTATATAGTGGACCAAGGAACTATTAAAAAGGGGAAGTAATTACATGTTAATACGGGGAGGGGAAGGAGCCAAACCTTATATCATACTTGTTTTTAAGAATGAGGAGATAATCAGTAACCGTCAGTTGAACTTAGAATCGATCACTTCGTGGACAATCATTATGGAACTACCAAATAAATTGAAAAGAGCCGGAATGGAAATTCACCGCCAGCTCTGAACAGGTCTCTGTACAGCTCACTTTGATCAAGGTTAAGGAACCGGACACATCATCCAGGAAACCTGAGCCGGCCATGAAAAAGAAGAACAAGCCACCATCTACCAGGAGACGCAACGCTAACCGTTTCGCTCAGTGAATGGACACAAAGACAGCCGTTGTTCCCGCTGCTGCACAACAACAAAATACCGAGGCCAGCGTAGACCACAACAGTCAGACAGACGCTAGGGACACAATAGTTGGTAAACTACTCACACCAACTAAGTAAAGAGGTGAACCAGTGGGAGTTGTCATCAACAAGGATATTGTCACCAGTTCTTACAACCCCAAGAAGGCATACCATCGCCTTATTTATTACACATCGACACCACTGCATACGTCGCCCTTTAACCTTCAATCCAAAGATGCTATAGAAGCTGCCATACTGTCAGAACGGCCGAACACTCCGTACCAGCAACAACATCGCAGTCGGAGTAAGATGAAAGCAAAAAGACAGGCAGATCCAAATCTTTCAATCTTGCAATCTTACGTACATTAGTCCGCAATATCCAAAAGGATAGCTGGACCCTAAAACCAATCATCATCAGTAAACATCAATGGGTCAGCAACATAACACAAAAGATTAACATGCATGTGCATCTATTGACTTTTTGCGATATTGAAAATTCAAAGTCTTTGTTTGGTTTGCTTGAACTAAGAAATTGGAATAAAGTTCTAAAATCCAGTAGCCCTTTTCACAAAAAATCTTAAGTGTAAAATTAATCTTACGATAAAAATATTTAGTTGAATTGTTAAGGAATATTTTAGACTTACGATAAATTTTACACTTTAGATTTTTTGTGAAAAGGGCTACTGGGGCGTAGGAGCCGGAGTAAAACTCACCAACTTCTAGACTATTTGACTATAGAAAAAATTTTTTTTTTTGCTTTTCAATTTCAGAAATATTACCCCCCCCCCCCCCCCCCCTTCCTTCAAACATACACACACTAACACTTATCATGCAGTCTAATATTATATATGCCATTGATTGATTTCACAAATACTCGACTGTACGAAAATTAAACATAAGACTAAGCTAGCAATACGAACAACACCATATTTCTTCCACTGGGAACTTATATATTACGAAGGAACTTCTATTCCATGAAAAGGCCATGCACTTTGAATAGTTAATAAAACAATTATATTTTATTGTATTTGTTGCAATCGACAAACTAAGCCAGACAGAATCCGTTAGTTCTCCTTATTATAAGCTAAGGAGACTACTAGCTTACTTAAGTGTTATACATAAAGTTGATTTCGAGTTAAGGATCCGTTAGTTTAATTCCATAGCGAACTTTTTATCGTGACTTCCAGATAATTTTGCTTTAATCATTGAAATAGATTGCTTCATTTTTCTAATATTTATCAAGTCGATTTTTTCGAAAGCATTAATGGTTAAATAATTTATTTGGTAGTTCATTCCATGTTTTTGCTATCTTTACATCGAAAGGTGTTTTCTGAAATTCGATTGAAACCTATGATACAGCACCTTGTTGCTATTTTGTTCTACTACTAACTCTTTGTTGTGAAATCAGTGTGAATTGTAAGAAGGAGCTTGCTTTGTTGTCATAATAACCGTTTATCAGATTATAAAAGTTTCAATCATATCTCCCCTGATTCGTCTATAAAGATAAGTATAATTACAAAAAAAAAAAACAAAGTCCATTAAGGTAAATTAAGTAATTCTTTATTGTCACATATATTAAAACAAGATACTTGTGACAAATACAAATAATAAACAGCAACAAAAATTGATTTGAATAATTATATATACATACATGTATAATAATAATAATAATAATAATAATAATAATAATAATAATAATAATAATAATAATAATATGTGCAGTGGTTAACAACATTAAGAAAGATAACACCCGGCCACCGAAAGCTTGATTTTTGTCGAGCCTAGGTGGTCGAGTGGTCTAGCGCGTCGGGCAAAGTGCAAGGCGATTTGTTGCCACGATATCTCAGTAGCATGAGTTCGAATTCCGACCAGGGAAGAACAGAAATTTGCTTCCGCAAATTTAAAGATCTAACATTGTTGGACTGTTATTTAGACGAATTATATATATATATATAATATGGTGTACAAATTTTTGCACCTCACGTTTGCGGTATACCATCTTTTCCGCAAGTTTATTGTTTTCTGTTTGGTATTAAATTAATAATAAAGATCCATTTTGTTACATCTTGTGATCCGTTTATTTGGCAATCGCCAATGGCAGTCAGCAGGGTTTAAGAACATCCGTTGTTCGACCTGTTAGTCAAATGCGTTTTGTTTAAATATACCCTTTCACTTTTATTGTCTTTTGGAAAATGTTGTTTGTGCTGTATTTAGACCCCTCTACCAAGAAACTTGTTTTGCATGCACACAAACAACAAATGTTCTTAAACCCTGCTGACTGCCATTGGCGATTGCCAAATAAACATATATATATATATACAAGACTTATTTATATGTATATACAAGCAAAAATAGCTAATTTTATAAGTCATTGTCCTCAGCTTCAATGTTTTATAAAGGAACCTTTTTACTTGATTTATATTTGTATCAGTATCAGAAAGATTTGGAAATATAGGATTATCTATTGCGATGTCATTAAAAAGTTGTATACGTAATATTTTATTATTATTGACAGTAGAGCAGAATGTGGTTTTTATCTTCTATGATTTTACAAAAGTCCACAAATCCTGACAAAATCGAACGCTCGCCCATTCAGTTCAACCAACAGAACGCATGGAAACCAACTAATCCTGACTTGATGTAGCCATTTTTCGAATGTTTTTACAGCCCTATGATAACATGGGTAAGTCTAGTTTTTTTTATTATCTCTAGATAACTCAGATCTTTGAGTCCGCTGGTAATTGTTTAGCTACACTTCTTTTTTCTTTATATAAGTGATCAAACTGATCAAAATGAACTTGCATAGTCCGGGCTATTTGTGAAACCGTAGCTTTTATGTTCCTTATGAATAAGATATTTTTTTAACAATTTGCAGACCATAGAAAAATTGTCAAAATATGTCAGAAGGACCATAAGAGCAACGGTTCCGCAACTAAGCCCAGGTGTGTTCTGACGAATGTTTTATATAATGGCAAGAATATCTCGATACTCAAATTAAATAAATGTTCTCTCGAGAACCGCAAACTATGTGATTTTCAAATGTAAGATCTAAGTAAGACTCCGATATCCTTTTCCTCATTTGCATTTGTAACTGTTTGACTGTTTGGTTCAGTAATGCACAACAGTTAAGTTAGGTCGTCATCATTTTTTTTTTTCCTGCACATTTTCATTTGCTTACATTTTTCCGAATGAAATTTTAGTACTGAGCCATTTATTGCTCCATAAGTGGAGGAGGGAGATGGACACCCCCTTTTCAAGAATTGTCTAGTAGTTGCGATTAACTTTATTCCGGCGCCTTCTTGTTTTGACGCAACCTTGCTTGATCTTGCTTTACTCAGCAATCAACGGGAACGTTCCGGATAGCTTACTATCTTGCTTCGGGAGTTGTAATGAAGAAGGAAGATAACTCTTATTTTGACGTTATGACGTCATATGTAAACAACATGGCCGCCTCATAAAATGGGGCCATGGGTTTTAAAATTTATGATAGTTTTTAGCGTAATACTTCTTGAATGTGTGAAAACTGATGTGGGAAGTGGAAATGGCGAAAGCCTGCAAGACATTGGCATAATTGATATAAAAAGCCGTTATAAGCGATCATCTGGATATTCTAAATTCAAGATAGGAAAAAGTACGACATCCCTTTCCCTATAGACTAGAATACAAGACTGAAAGTTTTATTTAATAATAATAATAATAATAATATGTGCTGTGGTTAGCAACATTAACAGGAGCTACACACGACAATATTTCGGGTATATGCATTTAATTGATATAACACTTTCAGCCGCTACGTGCGGATTATTCCAAATAATTAGTAGTTACATGACGTCTTCATGGTCTCGATAGGCTATTCTAATTTTTTGCTGTGACGCCTTCAACTTAGGAAGACGTCACAGGAAAAAAAAATTAAAATAGCCTTTCAAAACGTCATAATTATCTGTATAATCTGAACTACTTGAAGCTGTAATGTAAAAATATAACTGCCCCCACAAGACATGAAGTGAAGTTCAAAACAGACAGCAATCCACAAAACACGACGTATGCAATAAAATTGATCTATTAGTATTACCCCTCCCTTTTCCACTCTATTCTCCCCATCAAACGCCACAGTACAGTGGTCTACAAGGTGATAAGTAATAGTCGTGTAAAAATACAGTTTAAAATTATAAACGAGTACATTGTCAACTCGGAACTTAACAACAGCATTGCTTTGTTAAATACGCACAAACAGTTGTTGTGCGACAAGTTAACGTACTGCCTACTGGTAAAAGCAAGTGGGATTTGCAGAAATCTTCATATTTTGTATAACGACTACAATCTCCTAAAAACACACACTTCAAGTATGTTGTGCAAAGGTTTAAACCATACCACAGCAATTACAGAACGAATTCTGTCTGGGAATTTAAAACATCAATATATTCTTTTATTTTATCCCACCGATATGTTTTAATATACTACTGAAAATTTATTCAGCAGCTTGACAGTGATAAATCGTAATGAACTTCTTTTGTCTTGTAGAACATGATTTATTTATTAGTTGTGTTTGTGGCTTTAAACTAGTTTTCAATAACTGCGAGTACTCCTTGGTCTGTACTTTGTGTAAAAGAAGGGCGTAAGATAAAAGAGGGGGTAGGAATCCTCAGTCATCAATCTTAAGGCCTGTCGGCCCAAGTTGTCTCGAATGTGCAGGTTTTTAATAAGACAACAGCTTAAAAACATATAACATCAAAAGATAACATCTTCCTTTAATGACAGTTCTTTTAACATTGTTTAAGCAGATATCGCCGCGAGTCAACAATTACGACCAATGATCTGACACCAAGAACACCAATAAAGTATCATGTGAACAAAGCGGATATCAGTAATACCTGTCAGAATAACTGTGATTGCACTATATCATTTAGATATTTCAATTTATCAGACGGCCAAACAAAGAAAATGCATAATATTGGAAATTAGATAATGTATTTGTATTTTCGTTAATCATAATTCACAAATAAAAACAGTAAACTCCAAGCAAACTTTTGAAGTAAAGATATACTGTTCATCGAAAATTTAGGGAGACAACAGTTACAGCATTGACGTCATTAATTTTGTAACTACAAGTATGCTATAACAGTTGGGCGCCTGTAAATTGATTTCAGTCTAGTCCAAAGCTCAGAGTGCACTATACTCAGCTAAAGCAAAAGATATTTTAAGTTATATTAAAATTAACAAGAGTGCACACGCTGAATTGTCTCGACTACTGACAATTGATTTTATCATGTTGATAGTCCTAAATATGAAGTTTTACTACAAGTATCACATTAACATATATGATCCAAAATAATGAGGTCATGGTCAGATAAACCAAGCCGGAAATACATGTACACCTTTAATACAATCATTCAATACACCGAATATTGATGACCTATAGCTAATTATAGTATAAAAGAAACAGACCAAACCATGGAAATTATATATTGACCAATGAACCATGAAAATTATAGATTGACCAATGAACCATGAACATGAGGTCAAGGTCAGATGAACCCTTTCAGACAGACATGAACACCTTAAAATCGTTCCATGCATCAAATATACTTGACCTATTGCTTATAGTATCTAAGAAACAAAGTTAACCAGGAAAACTGAACATTGACCAATGAACCATGAAAATGAGGTGAAGGTCAGATGATACCTGCCAGACAGACATAAACATCTTAAAATCATTCCATACACCAAATATAGTTGACCTATTGCTTAAAGTTTAAGAAAAACAGACCAAAACACAAAAAACTTAACATTGAGCAATGAACCGTGAAAATGAGGTCAAGGTCAAATAAAACCTGCCAGTTGGACATGTACACATTACAATCGTAACATTCACCAAATACAGTAGACCTATTGCTTATAGTATCTGAGAAATGAACTTGACCACGAAAACTTAACCTTGTTCAATGATCCATGAAATGAGGTCGAGGTCAAGTGAAAACTACCTGACAGGCATGAAGACCTTGCAAGGTACGCACATACTAAATACAGTTATCCTATTACTCATAATCAGAGAGAAATTAACATTACAAAAAATCTGAACTTTTTTTCAAGTAGTCACTGAACTATGAAAATGAGGTCAAGGACAATGGACATATGACAGACGAAAACTTCATATCATAAGGCGTCTATATACAAAGTATGAAGCATCCAGGTCTTCTACCTTCTGAAATAATAAGCTTTAAAGAAGTTAGTAAACGCCACCGCCTCGGCCGGATCACTATCCATATGTCGAACTTTCTGCTTAGGAGGTCGCAGGCTCGACAAAAACAATTAAAGATAAAATGTTACTTCTAGCAGCCGGATTTGTATATATAATAAATTGTGTTTTGGCAATCAAAACCATATATTTGGGACGGAATAATATTTAAATATGAGAAAGGTATCAAAAATGAAAATGATAATTGTTGCAAATTATTATTTTAGGTCGAAGAAACGTACCCTTAGAAGAACAACTGACACCAAAGAACATTTATTATAACAATCCACCAGAAAGTAAGTTGTGATACATATTAGAACCATCAACAACATCATCTAAACTAAAGTCCTTTTCTATCTCACTGCAATGCTATTTGAAAGTTTGTTGTTGTGGAGAATATATTGTATTAGAAGATTTGTTTGCATTTTAGAGAAAATATCCATTAAATACTGGTATTCATGAAAGAGGAGGCTAAGCAGGAGGATCTTGGGAATGAATATTCTGGCCTAGAACGAACTGAAAACATAATCTTGCCCAATATTAGATGAATAGAATATTCTTCCGAGCAAAATGCAGGAAATAATTGTGTGCAAAGTGAAACTGAATATTAGCCAGACTAGGAATTGGTAAAAATGGATATTCCATCCGGGTAATTAACCAATCAGAGTACAGGATTCTTGCTGCATAAGAAATAAAATAAATTATCTTCCTCGTATCAGCCAATCAAAACCTGGCATTTCAACAAAACTTTACGACAAAAGAGATTATGTCAGCTTCCCAGTTGTGAACTTTCCATTTCTATGTAGCAACATTCCAACAGCGCCTCCATACTGAGTATATATCTCCCAATTGATACGATATTCCCGGGCTTGTATTTCCTATCATGATTTCCTTTATAGAGGATTGCTGCTCACAAGGAAGCTATTGAACCAAGAGTTCCAAATGGTGAAGTTGAAATCATCCCTTCGTAAATTTGACGGACGCCATCACGAGTTGGTTGACCGTTATGGAATAACCGTTTCACAGATGATATCGGATATGTTCCTTATGTCGTAACTACAATACCCTTCCCTTTTCACGAATGTGACCTACCGAATTAGACTATTTACCGGATTTGTAATAACATAAGCAACACGACGGGTGCCACATGTGGAGCAGGATCTGCTTACCCTTCCAGAGCACCTGAGATCACCCCCAGTTTTTGGTGGGGTTCGTGTTGCTTAGTCTTTAGTTTTCTATGTGTGTCATCTGCACTATTATTTGTCTGTTTGTCTTTTTATTTTTGGCCATGGTGTTGTCAGTTTGTTTTCGATCTATGAGTTTGACTGTCCCTCTGGTATCTTTCGTCCCTCTTTTAGTATGAAGTATAATAATAAAATATAACAAAAGATAACCACTTATAGGACAGACACATGGACATGTTGCCAGGTTGAAACTCGTTTTTGAAATCCCCACCTTCCCCTCTTTAATCTTGGAACTAGGACAGCAGTGATAACGATAGTCAATGCAGTATAAAAGAATGCTCACAGTTTCTGAGAGCAAGCTCAACGCACTTTAACTTGTCGATGTACTTTGATTCTTCGAAATTCGTTGCTTGTTCTGCGGATTCCCGGAATGCTTAATATTTATACATTACTAGCTATTTTCCAGAAGCCACTTATCAAAACAAAACTTATACATAAAGGTAGATTCACGGTATACCGCCACCTTGGATTGTACAATAGCAGTTCATAATCGGTCTAGTTCTTTGCCTAAATCTGCAAATTTTGTGACAGATTTGCAATTTATGTGTAAGACTGTTTATTTGTATAAAGAAAAATAAGTGATTCATTGCATTATCCAAAATGTTTAAACAAATACCAAATATTTGTGATTTTAGAATAAATTTTTCAACTTTGCAATTTAAGGGGAGATAACTCTTATAGTAAAAATTTTATACTGGAATGATAGTGTAATTTTCATTTTTTACTTGTAGCAAGAAAACAAGTTCGGTGACACCATTTTCTTCTTATTTTCTAGCATATTATAAAACCTACCTTCTCATATTTTAATTCAAAATTTTATCTCATAGATTTTTTTTTATTCACAAAAATAGTATTTCATGAACAATCTATGCAAATTTTGGCAATTTTGCACTACTTGTAGCTTGCAAAATAGCACTGTGACCCATTCTTTTTATTATAATTTTGAAAAAAGCATAGTAAAATCTTCATTTTGGCAAAGTATAAGAAAGTTCTATCTGAGGAAATATATACCGATGATCCACCTTAAATACATTTTTTTTTCAAAACATAGTATGATATTTGACACAGAGCTCACTCGGTGAAAAAATTCGGTACCAAAATAATGGCCGGTGACGATTTGCCCAGCTGTCGAGTTAACCCGGAGTCGATAAGACTTCTTACCTCCGCCGTGTCAAGGGCTGTTATAAAACAATAGTCTAGTTTATAGTCTAACTGTGTTCCGATGATTAGCAAGTTGTTCAATCTGAAAGGCGTTATTTCCCGAATCCAAAAAGAACGCTGAAACTGAAAGAAAGCGTTCTTTTGTTTTTTTATGCAAAACTTTACTTTATATAATTTATGAAAATTAGTTGGCGAGGCAAGTTAGTAATTGTAAAAGGAACGACAGACATATACATCTTACAATAATTCCATACACCAAATATAGTTGACCTATTGCTTAAAGTTTAAGAACTATTAAAAAGAGGTCAAAGACAATGGACATATGACAGACGAAAACTTTATATCATATATTTGGGACGGAATAATATCTTAAAATATGAGAAAGGTATGAGAAATGAAAATGATAATTGTTGCAAATTATTTTAGGTCGAAGAAACGTACCCTTAGAAGATCAACTGGCACCGAAGCAAATTTATTATAAAAATCAACCAGAAAGTAAGTTGTGATACATATTAGAACCATCAACAACATCATCTAAACTAAAGTCCTTTTCTATCTCACTGCAATGCTATTTGAAAGTTTGTTGTTGTGGAGAATACATTGTATCAGAAGAGGGGCCTGATGGGGGGTCTCATCACGATTCACGAGTTGACTTTTTTGTTAATTACGATTCACAGAAAAAAAATTTCCATGATCACGGATCACGAAAATATAAAAAAAAAAAAAATCTGTAGAAAAACGGATCACGATAGCGAAAATGCGCCGATCACGAAGAACGAAAATAACCCATCAGGCCCCTCTTAGAAGAAATGCAGGAATTGATTGTGCGCAAAGTGAAACTGAATATAAGCCAGACTAGGAATAGGTAAAAATGGATATTCCGTCCGGGTAATTAACCAATCAGATTACAGGATTCTTACTATATAAGAAATAAAATGAATTATCTTCCTCGTATCAGCCGATCAAAATCTGGCATTTTAACGTGAAGTATAATAATAAAATATAACTAAAGATAACCTCTTATAGGACAGACACATGGACTTGTTTTAAGATCCCCGACTTCCCCTCTTCAATCTTGGAACTAGGACAACAGTAATAATGATAGTCAATGCAGTATAAAAAGAATGCTCACAGTTTCTGAGAGCAAGCTCAACGCAGTTTAACTTGTCGATGTACTTTGATTCTTCGAAATTCGTTGCTTGTTCTGCGGATTCCCGGAATACTTAAGATTTTATACATTACTAGCTATAATGAGTATTTTCCAGAAGCCACTTATCAAAACAAAACTTATTGCTTCGCATCACGGTACGAAGCTATTAGTTTCAGTCGATATACACGGCATCTTGAAATAAATACTTATCACATATAGATTCTGATTGGTTGCTTTATGATGCGGCTGAGATACAGCGACAGCTATTGGTTTAAATGAGATAAAGAATTACAGACTTTTCTCGTCTCAGGATAAGACATCAAATGCCGGAAAATTAACTATGTGTATTTCAGTTCCGATCAACTGTCATTAATTCATGTTCGTTTTATTATGCATATATTGCACACTGAAATTCAATATTGAAAAATCAATTATTAATACGTGTTTATTGCTTTGTTATTCTGCAATATGCACGATTTGTTTTGCTAAACAATGTTTACAAAAATGCATTATCTGTATTTTATAACTTCTGCCAATTTAGGCACACATCCAGAGAGGCACACTTCCAGACTCGTGTCTATTTGTAAATGTTTTAATTTTCAACAAGTAAAGTGGACAAACTATTAAAAGCGTGAGTGTGTAACGCACACGCTTTTAAAGTAGAACAACATCATTTTCAATGAAACTAAATATTTATTGCTGTTTACAATTATATGTTATTATCATACCTAAACATTCATATATATCTAAATAAATCATAAACAGAACTAGCAATTAAAATCGCAAGTCAATGACCAGCAGAAAGAACTAGAAAACCACATTTCACAAAAACACATTGACAACTAAACACTGAACACCCAGTTTAAAATTTCAGAAAAGTTCATCTTAATATATATACAAAAATTGATATTCTAAGTCTAAGACATCTATTTTATATCAATCAATATCTAAAAACAACACATTTCCAATACTAAATCAATTACCACATGCACACATATTACCTTAAATTAGGATAGAGCGAAGCAGTCCACAGCTTTTAAGAAAGCTAAAACTTGTACATTAAGTTAGATTCACGGTATACCGCCATCTTGGATTGTACAATAGCAGTTCACAATCGGTCTAGTTCTTTGTCTAAATCTGCAAATTTTGAGACAGATTAGCAATTTATGTGTAAGACTGTAAATTATAAGCCTGGTACCTTTGATAACTATTTATTTGTATAAAGAAAAATAAGTGATTCATTGCATTATCCAAAATGTTTAAACAAATACCAAATGTTTGTGTTTTTTAGAATAAATTTTTCAACTTTGCAATTTAAGGGGTGTTAACTCGTATAGTAAAAATTGTATACTGGAATGATAGTGAAATTTTCATATTTTACTTGTATCAAGAAAACAAGTTCGGTGACACCATTTTTTCTTCTTATTTTCTAGCATATTATAAAACCTATCTTCTCATATATTATTTCAAAATTCTATCTCATAGATTTCTTTTTATTCACAAAAAATAGTTTTTTCATGAACAATCTATGCAAATTTGGGCAATTTGCACTACTTGTAGCTTGCAAAATAGCACTGTGACCCATACTTTTTATTATAATTTTGAAAAAAGCATAGTAAAATCTTCATTTTGTCCAAGTATAAGAAAGTTCTATCTGAGGAAATACATACCGATGATCCAACTAAAATACATTTTTTTTTTCAAAACATAGTATGATATTTGACACAGAGCAAGTTGTTCAATCTGAAAGGCATTATTTCCCGAATCCAAAAAGAACGCTGAAACTGAAAGATAGCGTTTCTTTAGTTTTTTTATGCAAAACTTTACTTTATATTATTGATGAAAATTAGTTGGCGAGGCAAATTAGTAATTGTAAAAGGAACGACAGACATATACATCTTACAATCATTCCGTACACCAAATATAGTTGACCTATTGCTTAAAGTTTAAGAAAAACAGACCAAAACACAAAAACTTAACATTGAGCAATGAACCGTAAAAATGGGGTCAAGATCAAATAAAACCTTCCAGAATGACATGTACATCGTAAAATATTTCCATACACCAAATATAGTTGACCTATTGCATACAGTATTAAAAAACAGACCAAAACACAAAAACTTAACTTTCGCCACTGAACCATGAAAATGAGGTCAAGGTCAGATGGCACCTGCCAGTTGGACATGTACACCTTACAATCGTAACATTCACCAAATATAGTAGACCTATTGCTTATAGTATCTGAGATATGAACTTGACCACGAAAACTTAACTTTGTTCAATGATCCATGAAATGAGGTCGAGGTCAAGTGAAAACTGTCTGACAGGCATGAGGACCTTGCAAGGTACGCGCATACCAAATACAGTTATCCTATTACTCATAATAAGAGAGAAATTAACATTACAAAATATCTGAACTTTTTTTCAAGTAGTCACTGAACTATTAAAAAGAGGTCAAAGACAATGGACATATGACAGACGAAAACTTTATATCATAAGGCATCTATATACAAAGTATGAAGAATCTAGGTATTCTACCTTCTGAAATATCAAGCTTTAAATAAGTTAGTAAACACCATCGCCTCCGCCGGATCGATCACTATCCCAATGTCGAGCTTTCTGCTAAAGAAGTCGCAGGCTCGACAAAAACTATTAAACATAAAATTTTACTTCTAGCTGTCGGATTTGTATATATAATAAATAGTGTTTGGCAATCAAAACCATATATTTGGGACGGAATAATATCTTAAAATATGAGAAAGGTATGAGAAATGAAAATGATAATTGTTGCAAATTATTTTAGGTCGAAGAAACGTACCCTTAGAAGATCAACTGGCACCGAAGCAAATTTATTATAAAAATCAACCAGAAAGTAAGTTGTGATACATATTAGAACCATCAACAACATCATCTAAACTAAAGTCCTTTTCTATCTCACTGCAATGTTATTTGAAAGTTTGTTGTTGTGGAGAATACATTGTATTAGAAGAGGGGCCTGATGGGGGGTCTCATCACGATTCACGAGTTGACTTTTTGTTAATTACGATTCACAGAAAAAAAATTTCCATGATCACGGATCACGAAAATATAAAAAAAAAAAAAATCTGTAGAAAAACGGATCACGATAGCGAAAATGCGCCGATCACGAAGAACGAAAATAACCCATCAGGCCCCTCTTAGAAGAAATGCAGGAATTAATTGTGTGCAAAGTGAAACTGAATATAAGCCAGACTAGGAATAGGTAAAAATGGATATTCCGTCCGGGTAATTAACCAATCAGATTACAGGATTCTTACTGTATAAGAAATAAAATGAATTATCTTCCTCGTATCAGCCGATCAAAACCTGGCATTTTAACGTGAAGTATAATAATAAAATATAACTAAAGATAACCTCTTATAGGACAGACACATGGACTTGTTTTAAGATCCCCGACTTCCCCTCTTTAATCTTGGAACTAGGACAACAGTAATAATGATAGTCAATGCAGTATAAAAGAATGCTCACAGTTTCTGAGAGCAAGCTCAACGCAGTTTAACTTGTCGATGTACTTTGATTCTTCGAAATTCGTTGCTTATTCTGCGGATTCCCGGAATACTTAAGCTAGCTATAATGAGTATTTTCCAGAAGCCACTTATCAAAACAAAACTTATTGCTTCGCATCACGGTACGAAGCTATTAGTTTCAGTCGATATACACGGCATCTTGAAATAAATACTTATCACATATAGATTCTGATTGGTTGCTTTATGATGCGGCTGAGATACAGCGACAGCTATTGGTTTAAATGAGATAAAGAATTACAGACTTTTCTCGTCTCAGGATAAGACATCAAATGCCGGAAAATTAACTATGTGTATTTCAGTTCCGATCAACTGTCATTAATTCATGTTCGTTTTATTATGCATATATTGCACACTGAAATTCAGTATTGAAAAATCAATTATTAATACGTGTTTATTGCTTTGTTAATCTGCAATATGCACGATTTGTTTTGCTAAACAATGTTTACAAAAATGCATTATCCGTATTTTATAACTTCTGCCAATCTAGGCACACATCCAGAGAGGCACACCTCCAGAGTCGTGTCTATTTGTAAATGTTTTAATTTTCAACAAGTCAAGTGGACAAACTTTTAAAAGCGTGGGTGTGTAACGCACACGCTTTTAATGTAGAACAACATCATTTTCATTTAAACTAAATATTTATTGCTGTTTACAATTATATGTTATTATCATACCTAAACATTCATATATATCTAAATAAATCATAAACAGAACTAGCAATTAAAATCGCAAGTCAATGACCAGCAGAAAGAACTAGAAAACCACATTTCACAAAAACACATTGACAACTAAACACTGAACACCCAGTTTAAAATTTCAGAAAAGTTCATCTTAATATATATACAAAAATTGATATTTTAAGTCTAAGACATCTATTTTATATCACTCAATATCTAAAAACAACACATTTCCAATACTAAATCAATAACCACATGCACACATATTACCTTAAATTAGGATAGAGCGAAGCAGTCCACAGCTTTTAAGAAAGCTAAAACTTGTACATTAAGTTAGATTCACGGTATACCGCCATCTTGGATTGTACAATAGCAGTTCACAATCGGTCTAGTTCTTTGTCTAAATCTGCAAATTTTGAGACAGATTAGCAATTTATGTGTAAGACTGTAAATTATAAGCCTGGTACCTTTGATAACTATTTATTTGTATAAAGAAAAATAAGTGATTCATTGCATTATCCAAAATGTTTAAACAAATACCAAATGTTTGTGTTTTTTAGAATAAATTTTTCAACTTTGCAATTTAAGGGGTGTTAACTCGTATAGTAAAAATTATATACTGGAATGATAGTGAAATTTTCATATTTTACTTGTAGCAAGAAAACAAGTTCGGTGACACCATTTTTTCTTCTTATTTTCTAGCATATTATAAAACCTATCTTCTCATATATTATTTCAAAATTCTATCTCATAGATTTCTTTTTATTCACAAAAAAATAGTTTTTTCATGAACAATCTATGCAAATTTGGGCAATTTGCACTACTTGTAGCTTGCAAAATAGCACTGTGACCCATACTTTTTATTATAATTTTGAAAAAAGCATAGTAAAATCTTCATTTTGTCCAAGTATAAGAAAGTTCTATCTGAGGAAATACATACCGATGATCCAACTAAAATACATTTTTTTTTTCAAAACATAGTATGATATTTGACACAGAGCAAGTTGTTCAATCTGAAAGGCATTATTTCCCGAATCCAAAAAGAACGCTGAAACTGAAAGATAGCGTTTCTTTAGTTTTTTTATGCAAAACTTTACTTTATATTATTGATGAAAATTAGTTGGCGAGGCAAATTAGTAATTGTAAAAGGAACGACAGACATATACATCTTACAATCATTCCGTACACCAAATATAGTTGACCTATTGCTTAAAGTTTAAGAAAAACAGACCAAAACACAAAAACTTAACATTGAGCAATGAACCGTAAAAATGGGGTCAAGATCAAATAAAACCTTCCAGAATGACATGTACATCGTAAAATATTTCCATACACCAAATATAGTTGACCTATTGCATACAGTATTAAAAAACAGACCAAAACACAAAAACTTAACTTTCGCCACTGAACCATGAAAATGAGGTCAAGGTCAGATGACACCTGCCAGTTGGACATGTACACCTTACAATCGTAACATTCACCAAATATAGTAGACCTATTGCTTATAGTATCTGAGATATGAACTTGACCACGAAAACTTAACTTTGTTCAATGATCCATGAAATGAGGTCGAGGTCAAGTGAAAACTGTCTGACAGGCATGAGGACCTTGCAAGGTACGCGCATACCAAATACAGTTATCCTATTACTCATAATAAGAGAGAAATTAACATTACAAAATATCTGAACTTTTTTTCAAGTTGTCACTGAACTATTAAAAAGAGGTCAAAGACAATGGACATATGACAGACGAAAACTTTATATCATAAGGCATCTATATACAAAGTATGAAGAATCTAGGTATTCTACCTTCTGAAATATCAAGCTTTAAATAAGTTAGTAAACACCATCGCCTCCGCCGGATCGATCACTATCCCAATGTCGAGCTTTCTGCTAAAGAAGTCGCAGGCTCGACAAAAACTATTAAACATAAAATTTTACTTCTAGCTGTCGGATTTGTATATATAATAAATAGTGTTTGGCAATCAAAACCATATATTTGGGACGGAATAATATCTTAAAATATGAGAAAGGTATGAGAAATGAAAATGATAATTGTTGCAAATTATTTTAGGTCGAAGAAACGTACCCTTAGAAGATCAACTGGCACCGAAGCAAATTTATTATAAAAATCAACCAGAAAGTAAGTTGTGATACATATTAGAACCATCAACAACATCATCTAAACTAAAGTCCTTTTCTATCTCACTGCAATGTTATTTGAAAGTTTGTTGTTGTGGAGAATACATTGTATTAGAAGAGGGGCCTGATGGGGGGTCTCATCACGATTCACGAGTTGACTTTTTGTTAATTACGATTCACAGAAAAAAAATTTCCATGATCACGGATCACGAAAATATAAAAAAAAAAAAAATCTGTAGAAAAACGGATCACGATAGCGAAAATGCGCCGATCACGAAGAACGAAAATAACCCATCAGGCCCCTCTTAGAAGAAATGCAGGAATTAATTGTGTGCAAAGTGAAACTGAATATAAGCCAGACTAAGAATAGGTAAAAATGGATATTCCGTCCGGGTAATTAACCAATCAGATTACAGGATTCTTACTGTATAAGAAATAAAATGAATTATCTTCCTCGTATCAGCCGATCAAAACCTGGCATTTTAACGTGAAGTATAATAATAAAATATAACTAAAGATAACCTCTTATAGGACAGACACATGGACTTGTTTTAAGATCCCCGACTTCCCCTCTTTAATCTTGGAACTAGGACAACAGTAATAATGATAGTCAATGCAGTATAAAAGAATGCTCACAGTTTCTGAGAGCAAGCTCAACGCAGTTTAACTTGTCGATGTACTTTGATTCTTCGAAATTCGTTGCTTATTCTGCGGATTCCCGGAATACTTAAGCTAGCTATAATGAGTATTTTCCAGAAGCCACTTATCAAAACAAAACTTATTGCTTCGCATCACGGTACGAAGCTATTAGTTTCAGTCGATATACACGGCATCTTGAAATAAATACTTATCACATATAGATTCTGATTGGTTGCTTTATGATGCGGCTGAGATACAGCGACAGCTATTGGTTTAAATGAGATAAAGAATTACAGACTTTTCTCGTCTCAGGATAAGACATCAAATGCCGGAAAATTAACTATGTGTATTTCAGTTCCGATCAACTGTCATTAATTCATGTTCGTTTTATTATGCATATATTGCACACTGAAATTCAGTATTGAAAAATCAATTATTAATACGTGTTTATTGCTTTGTTAATCTGCAATATGCACGATTTGTTTTGCTAAACAATGTTTACAAAAATGCATTATCCGTATTTTATAACTTCTGCCAATCTAGGCACACATCCAGAGAGGCACACCTCCAGAGTCGTGTCTATTTGTAAATGTTTTAATTTTCAACAAGTCAAGTGGACAAACTTTTAAAAGCGTGGGTGTGTAACGCACACGCTTTTAATGTAGAACAACATCATTTTCATTTAAACTAAATATTTATTGCTGTTTACAATTATATGTTATTATCATACCTAAACATTCATATATATCTAAATAAATCATAAACAGAACTAGCAATTAAAATCGCAAGTCAATGACCAGCAGAAAGAACTAGAAAACCACATTTCACAAAAACACATTGACAACTAAACACTGAACACCCAGTTTAAAATTTCAGAAAAGTTCATCTTAATATATATACAAAAATTGATATTTTAAGTCTAAGACATCTATTTTATATCACTCAATATCTAAAAACAACACATTTCCAATACTAAATCAATAACCACATGCACACATATTACCTTAAATTAGGATAGAGCGAAGCAGTCCACAGCTTTTAAGAAAGCTAAAACTTGTACATTAAGTTAGATTCACGGTATACCGCCATCTTGGATTGTACAATAGCAGTTCACAATCGGTCTAGTTCTTTGTCTAAATCTGCAAATTTTGAGACAGATTAGCAATTTATGTGTAAGACTGTAAATTATAAGCCTGGTACCTTTGATAACTATTTATTTGTATAAAGAAAAATAAGTGATTCATTGCATTATCCAAAATGTTTAAACAAATACCAAATGTTTGTGTTTTTTAGAATAAATTTTTCAACTTTGCAATTTAAGGGGTGTTAACTCGTATAGTAAAAATTATATACTGGAATGATAGTGAAATTTTCATATTTTACTTGTAGCAAGAAAACAAGTTCGGTGACACCATTTTTTCTTCTTATTTTCTAGCATATTATAAAACCTATCTTTTCATATATTATTTCAAAATTCTATCTCATAGATTTCTTTTTATTCACAAAAAAATAGTTTTTTCATGAACAATCTATGCAAATTTGGGCAATTTGCACTACTTGTAGCTTGCAAAATAGCACTGTGACCCATACTTTTTATTATAATTTTGAAAAAAGCATAGTAAAATCTTCATTTTGTCCAAGTATAAGAAAGTTCTATCTGAGGAAATACATACCGATGATCCAACTAAAATACATTTTTTTTTTCAAAACATAGTATGATATTTGACACAGAGCTCACTCGGTGACGATTTGCCCAGCTGTCGAGTTGACCCGGAGTCGATAAGACTTCTTACCTCCGCCGTGTCAAGGGCTGTTATAAAACAAAAGTCTATTTTATAGTCTAACTGTGTTCCAATGATTAGCAAGTTGTTCAATCTGAAAGGCATTATTTCCCAAATCCAAAAAGAACGCTGAAACTGAAAGATAGCGTTTCTTTAGTTTTTTATGCAAAACTTTACTTTATATTATTGATGAAAATTAGTTGGCGAGGCAAATTAGTAATTGTAAAAGGAACGACAGACATATACATCTTACAATCATTCCGTACACCAAATATAGTTGACCTATTGCTTAAAGTTTAAGAAAAACAGACCAAAACACAAAAACTTAACATTGAGCAATGAACCGTAAAAATGAGGTCAAGATCAAATAAAACCTTCCAGAATGACATGTACATCGTAAAATATTTCCATACACCAAATATAGTTGACCTATTGCATACAGTATTAAAAAACAGACCAAAACACAAAAACTTAACTTTCGCCACTGAACCATGAAAATGAGGTCAAGGTCAGATGACACCTGCCAGTTGGACATGTACACCTTACAATCGTAACATTCACCAAATATAGTAGACCTATTGCTTATAGTATCTGAGATATGAACTTGACCACGAAAACTTAACTTTGTTCAATGATCCATGAAATGAGGTCGAGGTCAAGTGAAAACTGTCTGACAGGCATGAGGACCTTGCAAGGTACGCGCATACCAAATACAGTTATCCTATTACTCATAATAAGAGAGAAATTAACATTACAAAATATCTGAACTTTTTTTCAAGTAGTCACTGAACTATTAAAAAGAGGTCAAAGACAATGGACATATGACAGACGAAAACTTTATATCATAAGGCATCTATATACAAAGTATGAAGAATCTAGGTATTCTACCTTCTGAAATATCAAGCTTTAAATAAGTTAGTAAACACCATCGCCTCCGCCGGATCGATCACTATCCCAATGTCGAGCTTTCTGCTAAAGAAGTCGCAGGCTCGACAAAAACTATTAAACATAAAATTTTACTTCTAGCTGTCGGATTTGTATATATAATAAATAGTGTTTGGCAATCAAAACCATATATTTGGGACGGAATAATATCTTAAAATATGAGAAAGGTATGAGAAATGAAAATGATAATTGTTGCAAATTATTTTAGGTCGAAGAAACGTACCCTTAGAAGATCAACTGGCACCGAAGCAAATTTATTATAAAAATCAACCAGAAAGTAAGTTGTGATACATATTAGAACCATCAACAACATCATCTAAACTAAAGTCCTTTTCTATCTCACTGCAATGCTATTTGAAAGTTTGTTGTTGTGGAGAATACATTGTATTAGAAGAGGGGCCTGATGGGGGGTCTCATCACGATTCACGAGTTGACTTTTTTGTTAATTACGATTCACAGAAAAAAAATTTCCATGATCACGGATCACGAAAATATAAAAAAAAAAAATCTGTAGAAAAACGGATCACGATAGCGAAAATGCGCCGATCACGAAGAACGAAAATAACCCATCAGGCCCCTCTTAAAAGAAATGCAGGAATTAATTGTGTGCAAAGTGAAACTGAATATAAGCCAGACTAGGAATAGGTAAAAATGGATATTCCGTCCGGGTAATTAACCAATCAGATTACAGGATTCTTACTGTATAAGAAATAAAATGAATTATCTTCCTCGTATCAGCCGATCAAAACCTGGCATTTTAACGTGAAGTATAATAATAAAATATAACTAAAGATAACCTCTTATAGGACAGACACATGGACTTGTTTTAAGATCCCCGACTTCCCCTCTTTAATCTTGGAACTAGGACAACAGTAATAATGATAGTCAATGCAGTATAAAAGAATGCTCACAGTTTCTGAGAGCAAGCTCAACGCAGTTTAACTTGTCGATGTACTTTGATTCTTCGAAATTCGTTGCTTGTTCTGCGGATTCCCGGAATACTTAAGATTTTATACATTACTAGCTATAATGAGTATTTTCCAGAAGCCACTTATCAAAACAAAACTTATTGCTTCGCATCACGGTACGAAGCTATTAGTTTCAGTCGATATACACGGCATCTTGAAATAAATACTTATCACATATAGATTCTGATTGGTTGCTTTATGATGCGGCTGAGATACAGCGACAGCTATTGGTTTAAATGAGATAAAGAATTACAGACTTTTCTCGTCTCAGGATAAGACATCAAATGCCGGAAAATTAACTATGTGTATTTCAGTTCCGATCAACTGTCATTAATTCATGTTCGTTTTATTATGCATATATTGCACACTGAAATTCAGTATTGAAAAATCAATTATTAATACGTGTTTATTGCTTTGTTAATCTGCAATATGCACGATTTGTTTTGCTAAACAATGTTTACAAAAATGCATTATCCGTATTTATAACTTCTGCCAATCTAGGCACACATCCAGCGAGGCACACCTCCAGAGTCGTGTCTATTTGTAAATGTTTTAATTTTCAACAAGTAAAGTGGACAAACTATTAAAAGCGTGAGTGTGTAACGCACACGCTTTTAAAGTAGAACAACATCATTTTCAATGAAACTAAATATTTATTGCTGTTTACAATTATATGTTATTATCATACCTAAACATTCATATATATCTAAATAAATCATAAACAGAACTAGCAATTAAAATCGCAAGTCAATGACCAGCAGAAAGAACTAGAAAACCACATTTCACAAAAACACATTGACAACTAAACACTGAACACCCAGTTTAAAATTTCAGAAAAGTTCATCTTAATATATATACAAAAATTGATATTCTAAGTCTAAGACATCTATTTTATATCAATCAATATCTAAAAACAACACATTTCCAATACTAAATCAATAACCACATGCACACATATTACCTTAAATTAGGATAGAGCGAAGCAGTCCACAGCTTTTAAGAAAGCTAAAACTTGTACATTAAGTTAGATTCACGGTATACCGGCATCTTGGATTGTACAATAGCAGTTCACAATCGGTCTAGTTCTTCGTCTAAATCTGCAAATTTTGAGACAGATTAGCAATTTATGTGTAAGACTGTAAATTATAAGCCTGGTACCTTTGATAACTATTTATTTGTATAAAGAAAAATAAGTGATTCATTGCATTATCCAAAATGTTTAAACAAATACCAAATGTTTGTGTTTTTTAGAATAAATTTTTTAACTTTGCAATTTAAGGGGAGATAACTTTTATAGTAAAAATTTTATACTGGATGATAGTGAAATTTTCATATTTTACTTGTAGCAAGAAAACAAGTTCGGTGACACCATTTTTTCTTCTTATTTTCTAGCATATTATAAAACCTATCTTCTCATATATTATTTCAAAATTCTATCTCATAGATTTCTTTTTATTCACAAAAAAATAGTTTTTTCATGAACAATCTATGCAAATTTGGGCAATTTGCACTACTTGTAGCTTGCAAAATAGCACTGTGACCCATACTTTTTATTATAATTTTGAAAAAAGCATAGTAAAATCTTCATTTTGTCCAAGTATAAGAAAATTCTATCTGAGGAAATATATACCGATGATCCAACTAAAATACATTTTTTTTTTTCAAAACATAGTATGATATTTGACATAGAGCTCACTCGGTGACAAAATTCGGTCACAAAATAATGGCCGGTGACGATTTGCCCAGCTGTCGAGTTGACCCGGAGTCGATAAGACTTCTTACCTCCGCCGTGTCAAGGGCTGTTATAAAACAAAAGTCTATTTTATAGTCTAACTGTGTTCCAATGATTAGCAAGTTGTTCAATCTGAAAGGCATTATTTCCCAAAACCAAAAAGAACGCTGAAACTGAAAGATAGCGTTTCTTTAGTTATTTATGCAAAACTTTACTTTATATTATTGATGAAAATTAGTTGGCGAGGCAAATTAGTAATTGTAAAAGGAACGACAGACATATACATCTTACAATCATTCCGTACACCAAATATAGTTGACCTATTGCTTAAAGTTTAAGAAAAACAGACCAAAACACAAAAACTTAACATTGAGCAATGAACCGTAAAAATGAGGTCAAGATCAAATAAAACCTTCCAGAATGACATGTACATCGTAAAATATTTCCATACACCAAATATAGTTGACCTATTGCATACAGTATTAAAAAACAGACCAAAACACAAAAACTTAACTTTCGCCACTAAACCATGAAAATGAGGTCAAGGTCAGATGACACCTGTCAGTTGGACATGTACACCTTACAATCGTAACATTCACCAAATATAGTAGACCTATTGCTTATAGTATCTGAGATATGAACTTGACCACGAAAACTTAACTTTGTTCAATGATCCATGAAATGAGGTCGAGGTCAAGTGAAAACTGTCTGACAGGCATGAGGACCTTGCAAGGTACGCGCATACCAAATACAGTTATCCTATTACTCATAATAAGAGAGAAATTAACATTACAAAATATCTGAACTTTTTTTCAAGTAGTCACTGAACTATTAAAAAGAGGTCAAAGACAATGGACATATGACAGACGAAAACTTTATATCATAAGGCATCTATATACAAAGTATGAAGAATCTAGGTATTCTACCTTCTGAAATATCAAGCTTTAAATAAGTTAGTAAACACCATCGCCTCCGCCGGATCGATCACTATCCCAATGTCGAGCTTTCTGCTAAAGAAGTCGCAGGCTCGACAAAAACTATTAAACATAAAATTTTACTTCTAGCTGTCGGATTTGTATATATAATAAATAGTGTTTGGCAATCAAAACCATATATTTGGGACGGAATAATATCTTAAAATATGAGAAAGGTATGAGAAATGAAAATGATAATTGTTGCAAATTATTTTAGGTCGAAGAAACGTACCCTTAGAAGATCAACTGGCACCGAAGCAAATTTATTATAAAAATCAACCAGAAAGTAAGTTGTGATACATATTAGAACCATCAACAACATCATCTAAACTAAAGTCCTTTTCTATCTCACTGCAATGCTATTTGAAAGTTTGTTGTTGTGGAGAATACATTGTATTAGAAGAGGGGTCTGATGGGGGGTCTCATCACGATTCACGAGTTGACTTTTTTGTTAATTACGATTCACAGAAAAAAAATTTCCATGATCACGGATCACGAAAATATATAAAAAAAAAAATCTGTAGAAAAACGGATCACGATAGCGAAAATGCGCCGATCACGAAGAACGAAAATAACCCATCAGGCCCCTCTTAAAAGAAATGCAGGAATTAATTGTGTGCAAAGTGAAACTGAATATAAGCCAGACTAGGAATAGGTAAAAATGGATATTCCGTCCGGGTAATTAACCAATCAGATTACAGGATTCTTACTGTATAAGAAATAAAATGAATTATCTTCCTCGTATCAGCCGATCAAAACCTGGCATTTTAACGTGAAGTATAATAATAAAATATAACTAAAGATAACCTCTTATAGGACAGACACATGGACTTGTTTTAAGATCCCCGACTTCCCCTCTTTAATCTTGGAACTAGGACAACAGTAATAATGATAGTCAATGCAGTATAAAAGAATGCTCACAGTTTCTGAGAGCAAGCTCAACGCAGTTTAACTTGTCGATGTACTTTGATTCTTCGAAATTCGTTGCTTGTTCTGCGGATTCCCGGAATACTTAAGATTTTATACATTACTAGCTATAATGAGTATTTTCCAGAAGCCGCTTATCAAAACAAAACTTATTGCTTCGCATCACGGTACGAAGCTATTAGTTTCAGTCGATATACACGGCATCTTGAAATAAATACTTATCACATATAGATTCTGATTGGTTGCTTTATGATGCGGCTGAGATACAGCGACAGCTATTGGTTTAAATGAGATAAAGAATTACAGACTTTTCTCGTCTCAGGATAAGACATCAAATGCCGGAAAATTAACTATGTGTATTTCAGTTCCGATCAACTGTCATTAATTCATGTTCGTTTTATTATGCATATATTGCACACTGAAATTCAATATTGAAAAATCAATTATTAATACGTGTTTATTGCTTTGTTAATCTGCAATATGCACGATTTGTTTTGCTAAACAATGTTTACAAAAATGCATTATCCGTATTTTATAACTTCTGCCAATCTAGGCACACATCCAGAGAGGCACACCTCCAGAGTCGTGTCTATTTGTAAATGTTTTAATTTTCAACAAGTAAAGTGGACAAACTTTTAAAAGCGTGGGTGTGTAACGCACACGCTTTTAAAGTAGAACAACATCATTTTCATTTAAACTAAATATTTATTGCTGTTTACAATTATATGTTATTATCATACCTAAACATTCATATATATCTAAATAAATCATAAACAGAACTAGCAATTAAAATCGTAGTCAATGACCAGCAGAAAGAACTAGAAAACCACATTTCACAAAAACACATTGACAACTAAACACTGAACACCCAGTTTAAAATTTCAGAAAAGTTCATCTTAATATATATACAAAAATTGATATTTTAAGTCTAAGACATCTATTTTATATCACTCAATATCTAAAAACAACACATTTCCAATACTAAATCAATAACCACATGCACACATATTACCTTAAATTAGGATAGAGCGAAGCAGTCCACAGCTTTTAAGAAAGCTAAAACTTGTACATTAAGTTAGATTCACGGTATACCACCATCTTGGATTGTACAATAGCAGTTCACAATCGGTCTAGTTCTTTGTCTTCTTATTTTCTAGCATATTATAAAACCTATCTTCTCATATATTATTTCAAAATTCTATCTCATAGATTTCTTTTTATTCACAAAAAAATAGTTTTTTCATGAACAATCTATGCAAATTTGGGCAATTTGCACTACTTGTAGCTTGCAAAATAGCACTGTGACCCATACTTTTTATTATAATTTTGAAAAAAGCATAGTAAAATCTTCATTTTGTCCAAGTATAAGAAAGTTCTATCTGAGGAAATACATACCGATGATCCAACTAAAATACATTTTTTTTTTCAAAACATAGTATGATATTTGACACAGAGCTCACTCGGTGACGATTTGCCCAGCTGTCGAGTTGACCCGGAGTCGATAAGACTTCTTACCTCCGCCGTGTCAAGGGCTGTTATAAAACAAAAGTCTATTTTATAGTCTAACTGTGTTCCAATGATTAGCAAGTTGTTCAATCTGAAAGGCATTATTTCCCAAATCCAAAAAGAACGCTGAAACTGAAAGATAGCGTTTCTTTAGTTTTTTATGCAAAACTTTACTTTATATTATTGATGAAAATTAGTTGGCGAGGCAAATTAGTAATTGTAAAAGGAACGACAGACATATACATCTTACAATCATTCCGTACACCAAATATAGTTGACCTATTGCTTAAAGTTTAAGAAAAACAGACCAAAACACAAAAACTTAACATTGAGCAATGAACCGTAAAAATGAGGTCAAGATCAAATAAAACCTTCCAGAATGACATGTACATCGTAAAATATTTCCATACACCAAATATAGTTGACCTATTGCATACAGTATTAAAAAACAGACCAAAACACAAAAACTTAACTTTCGCCACTAAACCATGAAAATGAGGTCAAGGTCAGATGACACCTGTCAGTTGGACATGTACACCTTACAATCGTAACATTCACCAAATATAGTAGACCTATTGCTTATAGTATCTGAGATATGAACTTGACCACGAAAACTTAACTTTGTTCAATGATCCATGAAATGAGGTCGAGGTCAAGTGAAAACTGTCTGACAGGCATGAGGACCTTGCAAGGTACGCGCATACCAAATACAGTTATCCTATTACTCATAATAAGAGAGAAATTAACATTACAAAATATCTGAACTTTTTTTCAAGTAGTCACTGAACTATTAAAAAGAGGTCAAAGACAATGGACATATGACAGACGAAAACTTTATATCATAAGGCATCTATATACAAAGTATGAAGAATCTAGGTATTCTACCTTCTGAAATATCAAGCTTTAAATAAGTTAGTAAACACCATCGCCTCCGCCGGATCGATCACTATCCCAATGTCGAGCTTTCTGCTAAAGAAGTCGCAGGCTCGACAAAAACTATTAAACATAAAATTTTACTTCTAGCTGTCGGATTTGTATATATAATAAATAGTGTTTGGCAATCAAAACCATATATTTGGGACGGAATAATATCTTAAAATATGAGAAAGGTATGAGAAATGAAAATGATAATTGTCGCAAATTATTTTAGGTCGAAGAAACGTACCCTTAGAAGATCAACTGGCACCGAAGCAAATTTATTATAAAAATCAACCAGAAAGTAAGTTGTGAAACATATTAGAACCATCAACAACATCATCTAAACTAAAGTCCTTTTCTATCTCACTGCAATGCTATTTGAAAGTTTGTTGTTGTGGAGAATATATTGTATTAGAAGAGGGGCCTGATGGGGGGTCTCATCACGATTCACGAGTTGACTTTTTTGTTAATTACGATTCACAGAAAAAAAAATTCCATGATCACGGATCACGAAAATATAAAAAAAAAAAAATCTGTAGAAAAACGGATCACGATAGCGAAAATCCGCCGATCACGAAGAACGAAAATAACCCATCAGGCCCCTCTTAAAAGAAATGCAGGAATTAATTGTGTGCAAAGTGAAACTGAATATAAGCCAGACTAGGAATAGGTAAAAATGGATATTCCGTCCGGGTAATTAACCAATCAGATTACAGGATTCTTACTGTATAAGAAATAAAATGAATTATCTTCCTCGTATCAGCCGATCAAAACCTGGCATTTTAACGTGAAGTATAATAATAAAATATAACTAAAGATAACCTCTTATAGGACAGACACATGGACTTGTTTTAAGATCCCCGACTTCCCCTCTTTAATCTTGGAACTAGGACAACAGTAATAATGATAGTCAATGCAGTATAAAAGAATGCTCACAGTTTCTGAGAGCAAGCTCAACGCAGTTTAACTTGTCGATGTACTTTGATTCTTCGAAATTCGTTGCTTGTTCTGCGGATTCCCGGAATACTTAAGATTTTATACATTACTAGCTATAATGAGTATTTTCCAGAAGCCACTTATCAAAACAAAACTTATTGCTTCGCATCACGGTACGAAGCTATTAGTTTCAGTCGATATACACGGCATCTTGAAATAAATACTTATCACATATAGATTCTGATTGGTTGCTTTATGATGCGGCTGAGATACAGCGACAGCTATTGGTTTAAATGAGATAAAGAATTACAGACTTTTCTCGTCTCAGGATAAGACATCAAATGCCGGAAAATTAACTATGTGTATTTCAGTTCCGATCAACTGTCATTAATTCATGTTCGTTTTATTATGCATATATTGCACACTGAAATTCAATATTGAAAAATCAATTATTAATACGTGTTTATTGCTTTGTTAATCTGCAATATGCACGATTTGTTTTGCTAAACAATGTTTACAAAAATGCATTATCCGTATTTATAACTTCTGCCAATCTAGGCACACATCCAGCGAGGCACACCTCCAGAGTCGTGTCTATTTGTAAATGTTTTAATTTTCAACAAGTAAAGTGGACAAACTATTAAAAGCGTGAGTGTGTAACGCACACGCTTTTAAAGTAGAACAACATCATTTTCAATGAAACTAAATATTTATTGCTGTTTACAATTATATGTTATTATCATACCTAAACATTCATATATATCTAAATAAATCATAAACAGAACTAGCAATTAAAATCGCAAGTCAATGACCAGCAGAAAGAACTAGAAAACCACATTTCACAAAAACACATTGACAACTAAACACTGAACACCCAGTTTAAAATTTCAGAAAAGTTCATCTTAATATATATACAAAAATTGATATTCTAAGTCTAAGACATCTATTTTATATCAATCAATATCTAAAAACAACACATTTCCAATACTAAATCAATAACCACATGCACACATATTACCTTAAATTAGGATAGAGCGAAGCAGTCCACAGCTTTTAAGAAAGCTAAAACTTGTACATTAAGTTAGATTCACGGTATACCGGCATCTTGGATTGTACAATAGCAGTTCACAATCGGTCTAGTTCTTCGTCTAAATCTGCAAATTTTGAGACAGATTAGCAATTTATGTGTAAGACTGTAAATTATAAGCCTGGTACCTTTGATAACTATTTATTTGTATAAAGAAAAATAAGTGATTCATTGCATTATCCAAAATGTTTAAACAAATACCAAATGTTTGTGTTTTTTAGAATAAATTTTTTAACTTTGCAATTTAAGGGGAGATAACTTTTATAGTAAAAATTTTATACTGGATGATAGTGAAATTTTCATATTTTACTTGTAGCAAGAAAACAAGTTCGGTGACACCATTTTTTCTTCTTATTTTCTAGCATATTATAAAACCTATCTTCTCATATATTATTTCAAAATTCTATCTCATAGATTTCTTTTTATTCACAAAAAAATAGTTTTTTCATGAACAATCTATGCAAATTTGGGCAATTTGCACTACTTGTAGCTTGCAAAATAGCACTGTGACCCATACTTTTTATTATAATTTTGAAAAAAGCATAGTAAAATCTTCATTTTGTCCAAGTATAAGAAAATTCTATCTGAGGAAATATATACCGATGATCCAACTAAAATACATTTTTTTTTTTCAAAACATAGTATGATATTTGACACAGAGCTCACTCGGTGACAAAATTCGGTACCAAAATAATGGCCGGTGACGATTTGCCCAGCTGTCGAGTTGACCCGGAGTCGATAAGACTTCTTACCTCCGCCGAGTCAAGGGCTGTTATAAAACAAAAGTCTATTTTATAGTCTAACTGTGTTCCAATGATTAGCAAGTTGTTCAATCTGAAAGGCATTATTTCCCAAATCCAAAAAGAACGCTGAAACTGAAAGATAGCGTTTCTTTAGTTTTTTTATGCAAAACTTTACTTTATATTATTGATGAAAATTAGTTGGCGAGGCAAATTAGTAATTGTAAAAGGAACGACAGACATATACATCTTACAATCATTCCGTACACTAAATATAGTTGACCTATTGCTTAAAGTTTAAGAAAAACAGACCAAAACACAAAAACTTAACATTGAGCAACGACCGTGAAAATGAGGTCAAGATCAAATAAAACCTTCCAGAATGACATGTACATCGTAAAATATTTCCATACACCAAATATAGTTGACCTATTGCATACAGTATTAAAAAACAGACCAATACACAAAAACTTAACTTTCGCCACTGAACCATGAAAATGAGGTCAAGGTCAGATGACACCTGCCAGTTGGACATGTACACCTTACAATCGTAACATTCACCAAATATAGTAGACCTATTGCTTATAGTATCTGAGATATGAACTTGACCACGAAAACTTAACTTTGTTCAATGATCCATGAAATGAGGTCGAGGTCAAGTGAAAACTGTCTGACAGGCATGAGGACCTTGCAAGGTACGCACATACCAAATACAGTTATCCTATTACTCATAATAAGAGAGAAATTAACATTACAAAATATCTGAACTTTTTTTCAAGTAGTCACTGAACTATTAAAAAGAGGTCAAGGACAATGGACATATGACAGACGAAAACTTTATATCATAAGGCATCTATATACAAAGTATGAAGAATCTAGGTATTCTACCTTCTGAAATATCAAGCTTTAAATAAGTTAGTAAACACCATCGCCTCCGCCGGATCACTATCCCAATGTCGAGCTTTCTGCTAAAGAAGTCGCAGGCAAAAACTATTAAACATAAAATTTTACTTCTAGCTGTCGGATTTGTATATATAATAAATAGTGTTTGGCAATCAAAACCATATATTTGGGACGGAATAATATCTTAAAATATGAGAAAGGTATGAGAAATGAAAATGATAATTGTTGCAAATTATTTTAGGTCGAAGAAACGTACCCTTAGAAGATCAACTGGCACCGAAGCAAATTTATTATAAAAATCAACCAGAAAGTAAGTTGTGATACATATTAGAACCATCAACAACATCATCTAAACTAAAGTCCTTTTCTATCTCACTGCAATGCTATTTGAAAGTTTGTTGTTGTGGAGAATACATTGTATTAGAAGAGGGGCCTGATGGGGGGTCTCATCACGATTCACGAGTTGACTTTTTTGTTAATTACGATTCACAGAAAAAAAAATTCCATGATCACGGATCACGAAAATATAAAAAAAAAAATCTGTAGAAAAACGGATCACGATAGCGAAAATGCGCCGATCACGAAGAACGAAAATAACCCATCAGGCTCCTCTTAGAAGAAATGCAGGAATCAATTGTGTGCAAAGTGAAACTGAATATAAGCCAGACTAGGAATAGGTGAAAATGGATATTCCGTCCGGGTAATTAACCATCAGATTACAGGATTCTTACTGTATAAGAAATAAAATGAATTATCTTCCTCGTATCAGCCGATCAAAACCTGGCATTTTAACGTGAAGTATAATAATAAAATATAACTAAAGATAACCTCTTATAGGACAGACACATGGACTTGTTTTAAGATCCCCGACTTCCCCTCTTTAATCTTGGAACTAGGACAACAGTAATAATGATAGTCAATGCAGTATTAAAGAATGCTCACAGTTTCTGAGAGCAAGCTCAACGCAGTTTAACTTGTCGATGTACTTTGATTCTTCGAAATTCGTTGCTTGTTCTGCGGATTCCCGGAATACTTAAGATTTTATACATTACTAGCTATAATGAGTATTTTCCAGAAGCCACTTATCAAAACAAAACTTATTGCTTCGCATCACGGTACGAAGCTATTAGTTTCAGTCGATATACACGGCATCTTGAAATAAATACTTATCACATATAGATTCTGATTGGTTGCTTTATGATGCGGCTGAGATACAGCGACAGCTATTGGTTTAAATGAGATAAAGAATTACAGACTTTTCTCGTCTCAGGATAAGACATCAAATGCCGGAAAATTAACTATGTGTATTTCAGTTCCGATCAACTGTCATTAATTCATGTTCGTTTTATTATGCATATATTGCACACTGAAATTCAATATTGAAAAATCAATTATTAATACGTGTTTATTGCTTTGTTAATCTGCAATATGCACGATTTGTTTTGCTAAACAATGTTTACAAAAATGCATTATCTGTATTTTATAACTTCTGCCAATCTAGGCACACATCCAGAGAGGCACACCTCCAGAGTCGTGTCTATTTGTAAATGTTTTAATTTTCAACAAGTAAAGTGGACAAACTTTTAAAAGCGTGAGTGTGTAACGCACACGCTTTTAAAATAGAACAACATCATTTTCATTTAAACTAAATATTTATTGCTGTTTACAATTATATGTTATTATCATACCTAAACATTCATATATATCTAAATAAATCATAAACAGAACTAGCAATTAAAATCGCAAGTCAATGACCAGCAGAAAGAACTAGAAAACCACATTTCACAAAAACACATTGACAACTAAACACTGAACACCCAGTTTAAAATTTCAGAAAAGTTCATCTTAATATATATATACAAAAATTGATATTCTAAGTCTAAGACATCTATTTTATATCACTCAATATCTAAAAACAACACATTTCCAATACTAAATCAATAACCACATGCACACATATTACCTTAAATTAGGATAGAGCGAAGCAGTCCACAGCTTTTAAGAAAGTTAAAACTTGTACATTAAGTTAGATTCACGGTATACCACCATCTTGGATTGTACAATAGCAGTTCACAATCGGTCTAGTTCTTTGTCTAAATCTGCAAATTTTGAGACAGATTAGCAATTTATGTGTAAGACTGTAAATTATAAGCCTGGTACCTTTGATAACTATTTATTTGTATAAAGAAAAATAAGTGATTCATTGTATTATCCAAAATGTTTAAACAAATACCAAATATTTGTGTTTTTTAGAATAAATTTTTCAACTTTGCAATTTAAGGGGAGATAACTTTTATAGTAAAAATGTTTTACTGGATGATAGTGAAATTTTCATATTTTACTTGTAGCAAGAAAACAAGTTCGGTGACACCATTTTTTCTTCTTATTTTCTAGCATATTATAAAACCTATCTTCTCATATATTATTTCAAAATTCTATCTCATAGATTTCTTTTTATTCACAAAAAATAGTTTTTTCATAAACAATCTATGCAAATTTGGGTAATTTTGCACGACTTGTAGCTTGTAAAATAGTACTGTGACCCATACTTTTTTTATTATAATTTTGAAAAAAAGCATAGTAAAATCTTCATTTTGTCAAAGTATAAGAACATTCTATCTGAGGAAATATATACCGATGATCCAACTTAAATACATTTTTTTCAAAACATAGTATGATATTTGACACAGATCTCACTCGGTGACAAAATTCGGTACCAAAATAATGGCCGGTGACGATTTGCCCAGCTGTCGATAAGACTTCTTACCTCCGGCGAGTCAAGGGCTGTTATAAAACAAAGTCTATTTTATAGTCTAACTGTGTTCCGATGATTAGCAAATTGTTCCATCTGAAAGGCATTATTTCCCGAATCCCAAAAGAACGCTGAAACTGAAAGATAGCGTTTTTTTTTTTTTTTTTTTTATACAAAACTTGACTTTATATTAGTAATTGTAAGAGGAAAGTCAATAAATAATTCGATTACTGGCATTATTCAAATGTTTGCAAATGTTCTTAAAATACAGCAGCAATACATTCTTACTCCTTAGTCTGCGAGAACATGATTTATTTATAAGTAGTTGTTCACAGGATTTGTACTTCCTAGGATCTACACGACGGGTGCCACGTGTGGAGCGGGAACTGTTTAACCTTCCGGATAACCTAAATTCCTCCCCGGTTTTGCTGGGGTTTCTGTAGCTCAGTCTTCAGTTTTCTATGCAGTGTTTTGTAGATTTGTTATTTTTCGTCATAGCGCTGTCAGTTTGACTGTCTTCGATTTACCCGACATTAGGTTTTGAATGTTACCTTGATTTCTTCTGCCTCCGTTTTGTTATTGGCTTTGAACTAGCTTTCATTAACTGCCAATCATGATTAGATCGATATTTTGTTTCTTTTAATTTAATGTTAGTTGTGTTTTGTTCATCGTGCCGATTTGATGAGTCGAGCCGTAATAGCCGATTTCCAACTGATTTTTAAAGTTTGGTCTTCTTTTGCACTATTAAACCACTGTCTTATGTTAGGGTTGAGCGCTCATATATATGTTTGACACCGCCACATTCTATGTGCGCCTTTCCCAAGTCAGGAGTCTGTAATTAGTGGTGGTCGTTTAATGCTGTAGACCTGTCATATTTGATTTTCGTTTATTGCTTTATCATAGATCAGGCTGTTATTTTTAACATGTCATGTCAATGCCTTTTATAGTTGACTAAACGGTTTGGCTTTTTTTTTCCATTGTTAAAGGCAGTTTACGGTAACCTATGGTGCCTTAATCCGCTTCATTTGTACTATGTTGGATATTATTCTCATTGGCAATCAAACCACATCGCATTATTTTTCATTAATTGTGTTCAATCGTTCACAAAGCTGCGTGTGTGGTAACATTTACGTAACGACCTGATAAAACAATTTCATGCATGATGGCATCCTTTTATTTGTAGCAAGTAAAATAGCTCAAGTGTTCCGCGAGAGGCAACAGAGAACGTCAAATACCACACGATTGATGCATCGTCCATTCTCATCTCATGGCTCCCGCTTCTTTGCAAACAAAGATTTGAAAACAAGCATTACACTTATCGTAGAGTAAGCCAACGTCGATTTGATCGGAAAGTAAGCGTTCTGAATTTACACCGTGCTTAAAAGTAAAAAAAGTTCCCGAAAACACGTTTTAGTACAATGCTAAGGCCAAATTTGTACGGAAATCGTCTGCTTTTGTTACGTCGGAAAAAATCTCTGGACAGTAAAGTAGTGGTTCACAGAACGAGCACTTAGAACAGTTATCTTAATTTCGAACAAACCATAAAGTTCATGCTATGCCACAGGCACTTGTCTATACTTTTATATTAAGGTATATAGGGAAACAAATATTTCAGAGACAAGTGCCTGTGTGCTATGCCTAAAGTTTGAGGAACGCCATTAGAACCTATTATAGCTTTCATTATAGCTAAAAACAGTAAAAGAGAGGCGAAAGATACCAAAGGGACATCCAAACTCATAAGTCGAAATTATACTGACAACGCCATGGCTTAAAAAAGAAAAAAGACAAAGAGACAAACGATAGTACACAAAACACAACATAGAAAACTAAAGACTGATTAACACGAACCCCACCAAAAACTGGGGGTGATCTTAGGTGCTCCGGAAGGGTAAGCAGATCCTGCTCCACATGTGGCACCCGTCGTGTTGCTCATTTTAGTACAAACTACAAACCCTGTTATATTTCTAATTCGGTAGGTCACATTCGGGAGAAAGGGGACGGGGTTGTAGTTACGACAGTTGGAACATATCCGCTATCATCTGTGAAACGGATATTCAATAACGGTCAACCAACTCGTGATGGCGTCCGTAAAATTTACGAAGGGATGATTTCAATTTCTCCACTTGGAACTCTTGGTTTAATAGCTTCCTTGTGAACAGCAACCCTCTATTAAGGAAATCATGACAAGAAAAAACAAGCCCTGAATATCGTATCAACTGAGAGATATATACTCCTTATGCAGACATGCGCTGCTGGAATGTTGCTACATAGAAATGGAAAGCTCAAAATGGGGAAGCTGAAATCATCTCTTTTGTCGTACAGTTTTGTTTTCAACCGACCCTCATTGTCAATTTCTAGATGTAAGTCAAGATATGAGGCAGACTTAACTGTATATGTTGTATCCTGTATCTCAAGTTCGATGGGATAGATGCGTTCAACATAGTCACCAAATTATGAATTATTTAGTGAGAGATATAGATTCCACCACTGCAACAAGTGTGTTACGATATTTCTCCACTCGAGACAGTTGAATTTTAATATTTAAAGCACGAGGCTTGCCGAGCTTTTTAAATAATTTAAACATAACTGTTGAGAGTGGAGAAATATCGTATTACACAAGTTATAGTAATAACTTATAGTAGTGGAATCAGTATCTCTAATGATTTTTATCCTTCCTTTTCAAAGATTTGCAGAAAGCTGTGTTCTTTATATGGTCGCCTTTTTTCATGATGTCTCAATAGGAAATTCAGAAGAAACCAAGAAAATTTGACGTCATAATTAAATTTCGACCAATCATTTGCCGAGAACCGTTATTTCACTAGCGAGGGGAACAATTTTTTCACAATCGGTTGGGAAATGTGAAAATAGGGCAAAAATTAGAGAAACATCATCTTTATAGCGGAAAGTAAAGTTAAAGGATACTACTTTTTCCTCAGAAGCTTGTATGAAGTAATAATCTTATCTTTTACAATAACTCACAAACTATACTTGACATATATATATAATATGTATGTACATGTATTTATGTCTGAACTTTTTTCATTACCTGTCTGCATAATTTGCTTTACAGCATTTAAAAAAATGTTGAGTCTTAAAACTTGAAAAAACAACTAATTTTTACATTATTCACCCTGATTGCATTTCTTTGAAGATGTACTTAAATGAAAATTAATAGCAGTTCCTTTAAAACTTTAAAAATCTTAAGGCCTGTTGGCACAAGCTTTCTCGAATGTGTAGGTTTTTAATAAAACAACAGATTAAAAACATAACGTATACGAAAAAGATAGTAACTTTCTTTCGTGACAGTCCAGATTCCGTATAACATTGTTAAGCAGATATAGCCGCGTGTCAACAATGACGACCAATGAACTGACACCAAGAACACCAATAAAGTATATGTGAACAAAGCGGAAATCAGTGATACTTGTCAGAATAACTGTGATTGCACTATATCATTTACATATTTTAATTTTTCAGACGGCCAAACAAAGAAAATGCATATTGGAAATTAAATTACCATGAATTATGAATATTCATCATGTAGTTTTATTTTCGTTAGCCACTGTAATGCAAAAAATCAAAATAAAAGACTCAAAGCAAACGTTTGAAATAAAAAGATATACTGTTCATCGAAAATTTAGGGAGACAACAGTTACAGCATTGACTTCATTAATTTTGTAATTCTGCTATAACAGTTGGGCGCCTGTAAAATGATTTCAGTCTAGTCCAAAGCTTAGAGTGCACTATATTCAGCTAAAGCTTAAGATATCTTAAGTTATATTAAAATCAAAAACAATTAAAGATAATATTCTACTTCTAGCAGCCAGATTTGTTTATATAATAAATAGTGTTTTGGCAATCAAAACCATATAATCGGGACGGAAAAATATTTAAGGTGGTACCTAACACTACAGGGAGATAACTCTGTGAAATCAGCTAAACGTTTTAATCACATTGTATTGTTACATAAATATTAAGCTTCTTAATGATCAAAATTAGTGTTTGTCAAACTGCTATATATCCAACCAATTTTTTCCGAGAAAGTGATTGGTTCAAGTTTTTTGAAATTTTTGTATTTTTTTCAAAGGGTCTAAGTTAATATTTTGTCAAAATTTTATGAAAATTAAACGAGCCAAATTAATTTTAGTCAAGGTGTTGGGTACCACCTTAAATATAATAAAGGTATCAAAAATGAAAATGATAACTGTTGCAAATAATTTTTCAGGTCGAAGAGACCAACCCTTAGAAGAAAAACTGGCACCAAGGAACATTTATTATAAAAATCAACCAGAAAGTAAGTTGTGATACATATTAGAACCATCAACAACATAATCTGAACCAGAGTCCTTTTCTATCTCACTGCAATGATATTCGAAAGTTTGTTGTTGTGGATAATACATTGTATTAGAAGATTTGTTTGTATTTTAGAGAGATTACCCATTATATACTAGTATTCAGGAAAGAGGGGGTTGGGAGGGGGGTGTGAGCAGGAGGATTTTGGGAATGAATATTCTGGCCTGGTACGAATTTAAAACATAATCTCGCCCAATATTGGATGAATTGAATCCTCTGCCCAACACAATGCAGGAACTAATTGTGTAAAGTGAAACTGAATATAAGCCAGACTAAGAATATGTAAAAATGGATATTCCTTCCAAAAAATTCCGCATAAAAAATCATTCTGCCCTTCCCAGAAAATCAAGACAAGACTTATTAATAAGTAGTTTTTTACCGGATTTGTTCTTGCAGGAGCAACACGACGGGTGCCATCTGCTTACCCTTTCGGAGCACCCAAGTTCACACCCGGTTTTTTGTGTGGGGTTCGTATTGCTCAATCTTTGGTATTCTTTATATTGCTATGGCGATGTTTTTAATGTGAAATATGTATCATCTGGACATTTTACATATGTATATATATATATACATGATAAACATGGGATGTTAAAACGCATAAGTAATTTAAATTTTGGTCAGGTTTTTTTATTATTTTGATAGATCATTATGGGGAATAAACTTTGTGCCTTTCATTGTTGGGTAGACATCAATGAGACAACAACCCTACGAAAACAGTCATAAGAAGTCAACAAAGTGTCTACACAATAAATATAACTAGTTCTAAATTGCTTCGAGTCTTAAAACAGTAGTGATGAAACTTAACAGTCTACCAAAGATCTCACATTTAATATATACCAACCCCCTTAATGACATTAATACAAAAAAGGTTAAAGACATGACAAAGACAACCGCTGATAAGGTTCCTTAATAGGACAGACACATGACCATGTGGTCAGGTTAAAACCCGTTTTTGAGATCCCCACCTTTCCCTTCTTTCCCTCCGAGGAACTTGACAAAAGGTAAAAATGAGTACAAAAAAGCACTTAACTTTATGATACCGATTTAAGAATAACAAAATCACAAGAACTAGAACAAGAATAATAATTATAGTCCGTTCAATGGTAAAGAATGCTCACAGTTTCTGAGAGCAAGTTCAAAACACTTTAACTTGTCGATGTACTTTGTTTCTTTGAAATTCATTGCTTTTACTTAGAAATACTTAGATTTCATACATAACTAGCTATTTTCCAGAAGCCAGTAATCAAATCAAAACTTGTGAACTTTATTATTGTGATTTTTATTTAAAATTAACACAGAATGATTTTTTTTCACTGAGTGGTTTACTCGGTGACACAACTTGGTACTGAAATAAACAATGACTGGTGACGATTTGCCCATCTGTCGATCTGCATGACCTAGTGTCGATTAGACTTCTGAACTCTCCGTGTCAAGGGCTGTTATAAAACAACATAAAAACAGAAATCTGTTTATAGTTTACCTGCGGTCGGATGATTAGCATATTGTTCCACCTGAATGTAACTTCCTGAATATCGGAAAGCATTCAAACCAAAAACAACGCTGAAACTGGCGGATAATGTTTCTTTTAATTTTTTTTTCAAACGACTTTTATTGATTGATATAAGTTGGCGATGCAAAACAGAAATTGTGAAAGGAAAGTCAATGATTGATTTGATTACTGACATAATTAAAATGTTTTTAAATTTAGCTGAAATACATTCTCACTCTTAATTTTGGGAGAACAAGATTGATTTATTAGTAGTTGTTTACCGGATTTGTACTTGCATTAGCAACACTACGGGTGCCATCTGCTTACCCTTTCGGAGCACCTAATTTCAGACCCGGTTTTTGTGTGAGGTTCGTATTGCTCAATCTTTAGTTTTATTTGTACCGTTTTTTGGATTTGTTCGTCTTATTGTCGCTTTATTGCCATGGCGATATCAGTTTTTCTTGGACTTATAAGTTTTGAATGTCCCCTTGGTTTACGTTTGCCTCCTTTTTGTTGTTGGCTTTGAACTAGTTTTCAGCTACTTATAGTTCTCTTAGAGCTAGATCAGTATTTTGTGTCTTTTGTTTTAATGTTAGTTGTGTTTTGTTCATCATGCCGATCTGATTAGTTGAGCCTTTTCAACTGATTTTTAAAGTTTAGTTTTATATTTCGCGATTAAACTACCGTCTCAGGTTGAGCGCTCACAAAAAAGATTGACCCACCACATTCTATATGCGCCTGTCCGAGGTCAGAAGTCTGTAATTAGTGGTTGTTATTCGATGCTGTCTGTCACATTTGATTTTCGTTGATTGCTTTATTATAGATTAGGCTGTTGTTTTTTACGTTTGAATTGTTTCTCATTTAGCCATGTCGGTGCATTTTATAGCTGTCTATACGGTATGGTTTTTTTCCATTGTTTAAGGCAGTTTACGGTGACATGTCATGTCACATGATGTGGTTGGTTTAATACGCTTCTTTTGGACTATGCTAAATATTGTTCATTGGCAATCAAATCAAATCGCAATATTTTACATTTAATGTGTTCATTCGTTCACAAAGCTGCGTGTGTGGTAACGTTTTCGTAACGACCTGATAAAACAATTTCATGCATGATGGCTTTTATTTGTAGCAAATAAAATAGCTTCCGTGTTCCGCGAGAGGCAACAGAGAACCTCAAATACCACACGAATAATGCATCGTCCATTTTCATCTCATGGCTCCCGCTTCCTTGCCAACAAAGATTCGAAAACATGCATTACACTTATCGTAAAGTAAGCCAACGTCGATTTGATTGGAAAGCAAGCGTTCTGAATTTACACCGTGCTTAAAAGTAAAAAAAGTTCCCGAAAACACGTTTTAGTACAATGCTTAGGGCAAATTTGTACGGTAATCGTCTGCTTTTGTTACGTCGGAAAAAATCTCTGGACAGTAAAGTAGTGGTTCACAGAAAGAGCACTTAGAACAGTTATCTTAATTTCGAACAAACCATTAAGTTCATGCTATGCCACAGGCACTTGTCTCTGAAAAAAATACCTATCTATACTACTAAATTAACGAGGTCTAATTTGTTAGCCGGGAATCCTTTAACTAAACTTATTCTAAAAAAAAATGAAAACAACATGTTAAATAATTTCATGCGTCTAAAAGGTTACCTATTGAAGACTGTAAATAATGTATCACTATACAAAAGCAACTAAATTTTATCGAAATTTCATTTTCAGCTGTTTTTGTTTCTTTTTAATATTCCCAAACCACAGAAGAAAAATATGTTTCCATAAATGGCACTGTTAATGAGTTTTGATGATAATCAGTTTTATAAAAAAAAAATGCACGTGTCTGACTGATGCAAGATAAGAACATGCGGGCAGTACCTTGTGGTTAATCAATAGAATTATTTGATAGCTTTATGACCACTGACCAACTATAAAAATAACAGTTATGAAAAAGAGGTGGACTAGGGGTTTATAGAAAAAAAGATGATAATGAATTGCAAATAAAAATACATTTCTATATTGGAGCTGTCAGGAGGAAAAAACAAAAAACTATTTGGAGCTATAGAGGGAATCAAAATATAAATGTACAAATATTAAACAAATATAATTGTACAACATCTAATGAGATCTTTATCCAGGTGGGCGGAGTTTTGACCATATCAGTAGCAGCTGACTTACATTAAGGTCACTAATGATATAACTTCTCCCGCCAGACCTGAATTTTGATGCACAGTGTGTGCATTTTCTTTATATATTTAGAATTGCTGAAATGGATTGCTTTATTACTGGTCAAAACCTAATTGATTTATGATTAAAGGCAAATCCTGAAGTATCCACATGGTACATTTGTGAATTATATTGAAGTTATTAAGGTTCAAGTATGAAAATCCTTATTGATTTGGCTATTTGTTTTAGGTATTTTTGTCATATAGCTCTTTAACTGTTTCGGTACTTATACATCCCTCGGATTTCAAATGTTTGGCTTTGAGCGTTCCTGATGAAGGTAAATCCAGAAAAGCGCTTCGGACGCATGAAATTATTAAACGTGTTGTTTTCAATTTTTATTAAATTGTGACACATCCATTTTTGCCATGAAAATGTAGTTTTAAATGACATTAGCTCCTAGATGGATGCCCCTATATGCATGATTTTAGCACATGTTGTTCCTTGACCTGTTATCTTCTAAACCATGTCTCAGATTTCCAAAAACATTAATAGAACAAATTTTATACCCAATTAAATTTAGAGCTTATGAATTAAGGTTGCAAACTTAATTGAAGGTTTATGAGAGAATGAAATACAATAGGAAAAATCTGAGACACTGTTATGAGGTCAAACTGAGTTGCTGAAGAATCTATCAGAAATTTTGGGATGCTATGAATAACAAAGAAGCTAATTTCATTCAAATGTGGACATCACAATCTAACAACTAATAACATAATAATCAATTATGTAATTACTATGTAATAATGAAATTATCACCATTTGAAAGATTAATCTTTCTTCTTTCTTTTGGTTCCTCATTTATAAGTTTTAGGGCTGGATGAAAGAAATCACATCAGTTTTAAGTCTTCTGATTTTGGGCGAAAAAAATCTATGTATTGTGCTACCTTAAATCTTTGAATATTGTTGTTATTGGTCTTAATATTGATTTTGTTATCAGTAAATTAAAACCATACTAAATATTACACACATGTACTTAACGGTACTACAATCTGTCGATACCTATAGTTTGACATTGCACAAGGTCATGTTTTTCTCTGACTGTTAATGACGTCTTTACACTAAATCCATTGGATGTTGGATGTATACTGATTGATATTCTAGTCTTAGATACATGATTTTTTTATTAGTTGTTATTGGCTTTGAACTAACTGTCAGTAACTGGGAGTACTCTCAGATCTGTACTTAGTGTCTTTTTGTTTTGGGGATTTATAAGTACCCGTCCACGTCTACTATGTGTTTTTGTTAGATGTATTTCTATTTGTGTCCATCTAATGAGTTAAGCCTTTTTCAACTGAATTTTATAGTTTGTTCATATGTTGTACTGTTACACCACTGTCCCAGGTTAGGGGAGGGTTGAGCACTCACAAACATGTTTAACCCCGCCACATACTTTATGTGCCTGTACCAAGTCAGGAGCCCGTAGTTCCGTGGTTGTCGTTGGTTCATGTCTGTCATATTTGTTTTTCTTGTTATAAATTAGGCCGTTAGTTTTCTCAATTGAATTGTTTCATATTTTTCATGTCGGGGCCTTTTATAGGCGACCATACGGTTTGTCATTTGAACTTTGGTGGATAGTTGTCTCATTGGCAACCATACCACATCTCCTTATTTTTATAATGACGTAAAAACGACGTATGAAATAATTTAACTTGATATGACTAAGATATGACAATGGTATAGATTAAAAATTACACCATTTCAGGCCTGTTGTTTTCCACATAATTAATTACCAATAGTTCACAAGTTCCAGGTCGAATCCGATACCGATATCAATAGTGTTTGTCACATGGAGTTTCCGGTTGTAGTATGTATGTATGTTATGTATCTTCTTCCTTTAATAGGAGCATCACCGTTGGTTGTGGTGTTAAAGAGGAACCTGATGTTCAGTGGTTGTCGTTTGTTGATGTGGTTCATAAGTGTTTCTCGTTTCTCGTTTTTTATATAGATTAGACCGTTGGTTTTCCTGTTTGAATGGTTTTACACTAGTCATTTTTGGGGCCCTTTATAGCTTGCTGTTCGGTGTGAGCCAAGGCTCCGTGTTGAAGGCCGTACTTTGACTTATAATGGTTTACTTTTACAAATTGTGACTTGGATGGAGAATTGTCTCATTGGCACTCATACCACATCTTTTTATACCTATTTAACACACTGTATCAGTACAGATTTAATGTGAGCATTTGCCTACCCAGTTTCCCAGCCTGACCTTGAGGGATCTTACTACCAGAAAGTTAAACCTCCCCCCTAAAAGAATAAGTACAATGCAATAAAACATACGAATATACACTCACCTGATTCACTCATCCTCAAAATATAAAAAATGCAAAATATAAAAACAAGTGAGTAAACCAGGACGGGTTCAAACAAAAAAGATTTTGAAAGCAGAGAAAGCTGTGCACCTTATAATAAGTATCACTTTATTAGATGACAATACGAATACTAAAAATCCGTGCTAAAAGCTAGGCTGATGTACTTTAATTCAGCCACGGACCCGCGATGTCGCGGGTGTGTTCTAGTATACATTAAAATTAAGGTATATAAGGGGATCCGAAAAATGTCAAACAGAAGTGCCGTTGTGCTATGCCTATGGTTTCAGGAACGCCCTCAGAACCTATCCTAGCTTTCCTTATAGCTCAAGACAGTAATAATCTTATCTTTAACAATGACTCACAAACCATACTTGGCATATATATGAAATATGTGTGTACATATATTTATGTCTGAACTTTTTTAAAGACATGTCTGCATAAGTTGTTTTACATCATTTAAAAAACGATTAGTCTTAAAACTTGAAAAAAACAACTCATTTTTACATCAATCACCCTGATTGCATGTCTTTGAAGATGTACTTAAATGAAAATTAAAAGAAGTTCCTTTAAAACTTTAAAAATCTTAAGGCCTGTTGACACAAGTTTTCTCGAATGTGCAGGTTTTGATAGGACAACAGCTTAAAAATATATATCGTATACGAAAAAGATAGCAACTTCCTAAAGTGATTATCCAGATTCCGAATTACATTGTTAAGCAGATATCGCCACGAGTCAACAACGACGACCAATGATCTGACAACACCAAAAACACCTATAAAGTATCATATGAACAAAGCAGAAATCATTAATACCTGTCAGAAGAACTGTGGTTGCACTATATCATTTGAATATTTCAATTTATCAGACGGCCAAAATAGAAAAAGCATATTGGAAATTAGATTACCATAAACTATGAATATTCTTCATTTAGGAGTATTTTTTGTTAGCCACTGTAATGCACAAATAAAAACAATAAACTCAAAGCAAACGTCTGAAGTAAAGATATACTGTTCATCGAAAAATTAGGAAGACAACAGTTACAGCATTGACGTCATTAATTTTGTAACTATGCTATAACAGTTGGGCGCCTGGAAATTGATTTCAGTCTACTCCAAAGCTCAGAGTGCACAATACTCAGCTGACGCAAAAGATACTTTAAGTTATGTTAAAATTAAAAACAATTAAAGATACAACTCTACCTAACCAGCCGGATATGTATATATAATAAATATTCTAACATGACGTTCTTCAAACGCTTTGAGTACACACCCGTGGTAAAATATGAATATATTGTTTGGGCTGTTCCGATCGTACTCCCGCGTCATATGCTTTTTTATGAATGAGCTACCCGACGTCATAGAACGATGACGTAAGAATATAAGCATTTTACGGGAAAATACACGCTTGTGAAACAGAAAATCATCACAACAAGGAAACATAAACAAACGATGCTAAAATGTGTTATATAAGCCATTTTTTGTATACATATAAGACATATAAGTACAATTATCATTTAGATTCATCCAAACCTATCTAAATATGTTATTGTAAATAGTTTAAGCATGTCATTTATTCAGTTTGCTCCGGTCGTTTACGTCAATTTAATAGTGCGTTTATTTATGGGAACGACAAATAATGCCTTCATCTAGAGCGCTTCGATCCAAAACAATTGCCGTATTTGTCCTATTAGAATCGTAATAATTCATGGGGGCTTGAATATATCGTGATTTTACCACGGGTTGTCCCTTTATGCCGATATTTTACCCCTCGCTATCGCTCAGGGTAAAATATTTGTAATAAAGGGCCAACCCGTGGTAAAATACGATATATTCAAGCCCCCATGAATTATTTCTTAAGTGTTTTGGCAATCAAAACCATATTTTCGGGACGGAATAATATTTAAATATGAGAAAGGTATCAAAAATGAAAATGCTAATTGTTGCAAATTATTTTAGGTCGAAGAAACGAACCCTTAAGAGAACAACTGGCACCAAAGAACATAAAGCCACAAGAAAGTAAGTTGTGATACATATTTGAACCACCAACAACATTATCTGAACTAGTCTTTTTCCATCTCACTGCAATGCTATTTGAAAGTTTGTTGTTGTGGAAAGAAAAAAGTAAAATCACAAAAATACTGAACTCCGATGAAAATTCAATCGGAAATTCCCTAATCACATCGCAAAATCAAATGACAAAACACATCAAACGAATGGACAACAACTGTCATATTCCTGACTTGGTACAGGCATTTTCAAATGTAGATAATGGTGGATTGAACCTGGTTTTATAGCGCTAAACCTCTCACTTGTACGACAGTCTCATCAAGAGAATACATTGTATTAGACGATTTGTTTGTATTTAAGAGACATTATCCATTATATACTTGAATTCAGGAAAGAGGAAGGGGGGGGGGGTGAGCAGGAGGATCTTTAGAATGAATATTCTGGCCTGGTACGAACTGAAAACATAATCTTGCCCAATATTAGATGAATTGAATATTCTGCTCAACAAAATGCAGGAATTAATTGTAAGCAAAGTGAAACTGAATATAAGGCAGACTAGGAATATGTAAAAATGTTTACAAAAAAGCACTTAACTCTATGATACTGATTTGTGAAAAAAAAAATTAACAAAATCACAAGAACTAGGACAACAATAATAATAATACTCAGTGCAATGGAAAAGAATGCCTACAGTTTCTGAGAGCAAGTTCAAAACACTTTAACTTCTCGATGTACTTTGGTTTCTTTGAAATTCGTTGCTTGTGCTTCGAAATACGTTGATTTCATACATAACTAGCTATTTTCCAGAAGCCAGTAATCAAATCAAAACTTGTAAACTTTATTTAGAATTTACACAGCATGATTTTTATCACTGAGTGGTTCACTCGGTGACACAACTTGGTACCGAAATAAACAATGACGGGTGACGATTTGCCAATCTGTCGATCTGACCTAGTGTTGATTAGAATTCTTACCTTCGCCGTGTCAAGGGCTGTTATAAAACAACATAAAAACAGAAATCTATTTCATAGTATGCCTGTGGTCGGAGCATTAGCATATTGTTCCATCTGAAAGATATAACTTCCTGAATATCGGAAAGTCGGAAAGCATTCAAACCAAAAAACAACGCTGAAACTGAGAGATAGTGTTTTTTTTTAAAGTTTTATAAAAGTCGGCTAGGCAAAACAGTAATTGTGAAAAGGAAGTCAATAAATGATTTGATTACTGACATAATTCAAATGTTTTTAAATTTAGTTGAAAAACATTCTTACTCTTTAAGTTTTGAAAAAAAAAGATTCATTTATTAGTAGTTTTTGACCGGATTTGTACTTGCATGAGCAACACGACGGGTGCCAACTGCTTACCCTTTGGAGCACCTAAGTTCACACCCGGTTTTTGTGTACGGTTCGTTTTGCTCAATCTTTAGTTTTATATGTAGCGTTTTCTGGATTTGTTCGTCTTATTGTCGTTTTATTGCCATGGCGATGTCAGTTTTCCTTGGACTTATAAATTTTGAATGTCCCCTTGGTATCGTCTGCCTCCTTTTTATTGTTGGCTTTGAACTAGTTTTCAGCTACTGATTGTTCTCTTACAGTTCAATCGGTATTTTGTGTCTTTTGTTTTAATGTTAGTTGTGTTGGTCTGGCGAGTCGAGCCCATTTCAACTGATTTTTAAAGTTTAGTTTTATATTTTGCGATTAAACTACCGTCTCAGGTTGAGCGCTCACACATATGTTTGACCCGCCACATTCTATATGCGCCTGTCCCAAGTCAGAAGTCTGTAATTAGTGGTTGTTGTTTGATGATGTCTGTCATATTTGATTTTCGTTGATTGCTTTATCATAGATTAGGCTGTTGTTTTTTACGTTTCAATTGTTTCTCATTTAGGCATGTCGGGGCCTTTAATAGCTAATTATACGGCATGGTGTTGTTTCCATTGTTTAAGGCAGTTTACGGTGACCTGTGGTTGCTTAAATCCGTTTTTTTTTTTACTATGTTGTAAATTATTCTCATTGGCAATCACATCACCTCGCATTGTTTTACATTAATTGTGTTCAATCGTTCACAATGCTGCGTGTGTGGTAACGTTTACGTAATGACCTGATAAAACAATTCCATGCATTATGGCATCCTTTCATTTGTATCGGGTAAAATAGCCCCCGTGTTGCGCGATTGATGCATCGTCCATTCTCATCTCATGGCTTCTGCTTCTTCGCAAACAAAGATTCGAAAACATGCATTACACTTATCGTAAAGTAAGCCATCGTCGATTTTATAGGAAAGCAAGCGTTTTGGATATACACTGTGCTTCAGTGTATAAAAAGTTCCGGAAAACACGTTTTAGTGCAATGCTCAGGGCAAATTTGTACGGAATTCGTCTGCTTTTGTTACGTCGGGTAAAGTCTCAGGACAGTAAAGTACTGGCTCACAGAAAGGGCACTTAGAACAGTTATCTTAATTTCGAACGAACCATTAAGTTCATGCTATGCCACAGGCACTTGTCTCCGAAAAAAATACCTATATACTTTATATTAAGGGATATAGCGAAAAGAATTTTTCATAGACAAGTGCCTGTGTGCTATGCTTAAGGTTTGAGGAACGCCCTTAGAACTTAACCTAGCTTTCCTTATAGCTCAAAACAGTAATAATCTTATCTTTAACAATGACTCACAAACCATACTTGGCATATACAATATGTGTGTACATATTTTTATGTCTGAACTTTTTTCAGAAACTGTCTGCATAAGTTGCTTTACAGCATTTAACAAAAATGTTAAGTCTTAAAACTTGAAAAAACAACTCGTTTTTACATTAATCACCCTGATTGCATTTCTTTGAAGATATACTTAAATGAAAATTAAAAGCAGTGTCTTTAAAACTTTCAAAATCCTAAGGCCTGTTGCCACAAGTTGTCTCAAATGTGCAGCTTTTTGATTTAACAGCAGCTTTAAAAACATATAACGTATACGAAAATGATAACAGGTTCCTATGGTGACAGTCCAGATTCCGTATAACATTGTTAAAGCAGTCAACAATGACGACCAATGATCTGACACCAAGAAAACCAATCAAGTATCATGTGAACAAAGCGGAAATCATATGTAATACCTGTAACTGTGATTGCACTATATCATTTAAATATTTCAATTGATCAGACGGCCAAAAAAAGAAAATGCATATTGGAAATTAAATTACAATGAATTATGAATATTCTTCATGTAGTTCTATTTTCGTTAGCCACTGCAATGCACAAATAAAGCAGTAAACTCAAAGCAAACTTTTGAAGTAAAGATATACTGTTCATCGAAAATTAGGGAGACAACAGTTACAGCATTGGCGTCATTAACTTTGTAACTATGGTTGGGCGCCTGTAAATTGATTTAAGCCTAGTCCGAAGCTCATAGTGCACTATACTCAACTAAAGCAAAAGATACTATTAGTTATTCTAATTCTAGCAGCCGGATTTATATATAATAAATAGTGTTTTGGCAATCAAAACTATATATTCGGGACGGAATATTTAAATATGATAAAGATATCAAAAATGAAAATGATAATTGTTGCAAATTATTTTTAGGTCGAAGAAACAAACCCTTAGAAGAACAACCTGCACCAAAGACCATAAAGCCAGCAGAAAGTAAGTTGTGATACATATAAGAACCATCAACAACATAATCGGAACTAGAGTCCTTTTCTATCTCACTGCAATAGTACTTGAAAGTTTGTTGTTGTGGAAAATACATTGTATTAGGAGATTTGTTTGTATTTTAGAGACATTACCCATTAGATACTAGTATTCAGGAAAGAGGGGGGTGGGCAGGAGGATCTTGGGAATGGATATTCTGGCCTGATACGAACTGATACATAATCTTGCCCAACATTAGATGAATTGAATATTCTGCCCAACAAAATGGCCCCTGCCAGAAAATCAAATGTAAAGTAAGTATCAGTTGGACATTTTACATATGCATATATATACATAATAAACATGGGAAGTTAAAACGCAAAAGTAATTTAAATTTTGCACAGGTTTTTTGATTATTTTGAAAGGTCATTATGAGGAATAAACTGTGTACCTTACATTGATAAAATAAATGTTGGGTAGACATCAGTGAGACAGCATCCCAATAAAATCAGTCATATATAAGTCAACAAAGTTCTAAAAAATGAATATAACTAGTTCTAAAACGCTTCGAGTCTTAAACAGTATTGATGAAACTTAACAGTCTGCCAAAGATCTGACATTTAATATACCAACCCCTTTAATGACATTTAATATACCAACCCCCTTAATGACATTCAACATAAAAAAAAATAAAGACAAGACCAAAAACAACCGCTGATTATGTTTATTACTTTGGACAGACACATGACTCATGTGGCAAGGTTAAAACCCGTTTGTTAGATCCCCAACTTCCCCTCTTTAATCTTGATCAGAGTAACTTAACAAAAGGTAAAAATGAGTACAAAAAACACATAACTCTATGATACTGATTTAGGAATAACAAAATCACAAGAACTAGGACAAGAATAATAATTTTAGTCAGTGCAATGGTAAAGAATGCTCACAGTTTCTGAGAGCAAGTTCAAAACACTATAACTTGTCGATGTACTTTGTTTCTTTGAAATTCGTTGTTTGTACTTCGAAATACGTAGATAGATTTCAAACATTACTTGCTATTTTCCAGAAGCCAGTAATCAAAACAAAACTTGTAAACTTAATTATTTTTATTTAGAATTTACACAACATGATTTTTGTCACGGAGTGGTTCACTCGGTGACACAACTTGGTACCGAAATAAACAATGACGGGTGACGATTTGCCCATCCGTCGGTCTGACCTAGTGTCAATAAGACTTCTTACCTCCGCCGTGTCAATGACTGTTATAAAACAACATAAAAAACATAAATCTTTTTTATAGTATACCTGTGGTCCGATGATAAGTATATTGTTCAATCTGAAAGATATCATTCATCACCCTGATTGCATTTCTTTGAAGATATACTTAAATGAAAATTATAAGCAGTGTCTTTAAAACTTTCAAAGTCTTAAGGCCTGTTGGCACAAGTTGTCTCGAATTTGCAGCTTTTTGATAAGACAACAGCTTTAAAAACATATAACGTATACGAAAATGATAACAGGTTCCTATGGAGACAGTCCAGATTCCGTATAACATTGTTAAAGCAGATATCGCCGCGAGTCAACAATGACGACCAATGATCTGACACCAAGAAAACCAATCAAGTATCATGTGAACAAAGCGGAAATCATATGTAATACCTGTAACTGTGATTGCACTATATCATTTAGATATTTCAATTGATCAGACGGCCAAAAAAAGAAAATGCATAATATTGGAAATTAAATTACCATGAATTATGAATATTCTTCATGTAGTTCTATTTTCGTTAGCCACTGTAATGCACAAATAAAAACATTAAACTCAAAGCAAACGTTCGAAGTAAAGATATACTGTTCATCGAAAATTAGGAAGACAACAGTTACAGCATTGGCGTCATTAATTTTGTAACTATGGTACAACAGTTGGGCGCCTGTAAATTGATTTAAGTCTAGTCCGAAGCTCATAGTGCACTATACTCAGCTAAAGCAAAATTTACTTTGAGTTATTCTAATTCTAGCAGCCGGATTTGGATATTATAAATAGTGTTTTGGCAATCAAAACTATTTATTCGGGACGGAACATTTAAATATGAGAAAGATATCAAAAATGAAAATGATAATTGTTGTAAATTATTTTTAGGTCTAAGAAACAAACCCTTAGAAGAACAACCTGCACCAAAGACCATAAAGCCAGCAGAAAGTAAGTTGTGATACATATTAGAACCATCAACAACATAATCGGAACTAGAGTCCTTTTCTATCTCACTGCAATGTTATTTGAAAGTTTGTTGTTGTGGAGAATACATTGTATTAGGAGATTTGTTTGTATTTTAGAGACATTACACATTAGATACTAGTATTCAGGAAAGAGGGGGGTGGGCAGGAGGATCTTGGGAATGGATATTCTGGCCTGGAACGAACTGATACATAATCTTGCCCAACATTAGATGAATTGAATATTCTGACCAACAAAATGGCCCCTCCCAGAAAATCAAATGTAAAATAAGCATCAGTAGGACATTTTACATATGCATATATATACATGAAAAACATGGGAAGTTAAAACACAAAAGTAATTTTAATTTTGCACAGGTTTTTTGATTATTTTGATAGGTCATTATGAGGAATAAACTGTGTACCTTACATTGATAAAATAAATGTTGGGTAGACATCAGTGAGACAGCATCCCAATAAAATCAGTCATATAGAAGTCAACAAAGTTCTACAAAACAGTATTGATGAAACTTAACAGTCTGCCAAAGATCTGACATTTAATATACCAACCCCCTTAATGACATTTAATATACCAACCCCCTTAATGACATTAAACATAAAAATAGTTAAAGACATGACCAAAAACAACCGCTGATTATGTTCATTACTTAGGACAGACACATGACTCATGTGGCAAGGTTAAAACCCGTTTTTCAGATCCCCAACTTCCCCTCTTTAATCTTGATCAGAGTAACTTAACAAAAGGTAAAAATGAGTACAAAAAACACATAACTCTATGATACTGATTTAGGAATAACAAAATCACAAGAACTAGGACAAGAATAATAATTCTAGTCAGTGCAATGGTAAAGAATGCTCACAGTTTCTGAGAGCAAGTTCAAAACACTATAACTTGTCGATGTACTTTGTTTCTTTGAAATTCGTTGTTTGTACTTCGAAATACGTAGATAGATTTCATACATTACTTGCTATTTTCAAGATGCCAGTAATCAAAACAAAACTTGTAAACTTAATTATTTTTATTTAGAATTTATACATGATTTTTGTCACGGAGTGGTTCACTCGGTGACACAACTTGGTACCGAAATAAACAATGACGGGTGACGATTTGCCCATCCGTCGGTCTGACCTAGTGTCAATAAGACTTCTTACCTCCGCCGTGTCAATGACTGTTATAAAACAACATAAAAAACATAAATCTTTTTTATAGTATACCTGTGGTCCGATGATAAGTAAATTGTTCAATCTGAAAGATATCATTCATCACCCTGATTGCATTTCTTTGAAGATATACTTGAATGAAAATTATAAGCAGTGTCTTTAAACTTTCAAAATCTTAAGGCCTGTTGGCACAAGTTGTCTCGATTTTGCAGCTTTTTGATAAGACAACAGCTTTAAAAACATATAACGTATACGAAAATGATAACAGGTTCCTATGGAGACAGTCCAGATTCCGTATAACATTGTTAAAGCAGATATCGCCGCGAGTCAACAATGACGACCAATGATCTGACACCAAGAAAACCAATCAAGTATCATGTGAACAAAGCGGAAATCATATGTAATACCTGTAACTGTGATTGCACTATATCATTTAGATATTTCAATTGATCAGACGGCCAAAAAAAGAAAATGCATAATATTGGAAATTAAATTACCATGAATTATGAATATTCTTCATGTAGTTCTATTTTCGTTAGCCACTGTAATGCACAAATAAAAACAGTAAACTCAAAGCAAACGTTTGAAGTAAAGATATACTGTTCATCGAAAATTAGGAAGACAACAGTTACAGCATTGGCGTCATTAATTTTGTAACTATGGTACAACAGTTGGGCGCCTGTAAATTGATTTAAGTCTAGTCCGAAGCTCAGAGTGCACTATACTCAGCTAAAGCAAAATTTACTTTGAGTTATTCTTATTCTAGCAGCCGGATTTGGATATTATAAATAGTGTTTTGGCAATCAAAACTATTTATTCGGGGCGGAACATTTAAATATGAGAAAGATATCAAAAATGAAAATGATAATTGTTGTAAAATATTTTTAGGTCTAAGAAACAAACCCTTAGAAGAACAACCTGCACCAAAGACCATAAAGCCAGCAGAAAGTAAGTTGTGATACATATTAGAACCATCAACAACATAATCGGAACTAGAGTCCTTTTCTATCTCACTGCAATGTTATTTGAAAGTTTGTTGTTGTGGAGAATACATTGTATTAGGAGATTTGTTTGTATTTTAGAGACATTACACATTAGATACTAGTATTCAGGAAAGAGGGGGGTGGGCAGGAGGATCTTGGGAATGGATATTCTGGCCTGGAATGAACTGATACATAATCTTGCCCAACATTAGACGAATTAAATATTCTGCCCAACAAAATGGCCCCTCCCAGAAAATTAAATGTAAAATAAGCATCAGTTGGACATTTTACATATGCATATATATACATGATAAACATGGGAAGTTAAAACACAAAAGTAATTTAAATTTTGCACAGGTTTTTTGATTATTTTGATAGGTCATTATGAGGAATAAACTGTGTACCTTACATTGATAAAATAAATGTTGGGTAGACATCAGTGAGACAGCATCCCAATAAAATCAGTCATATAGAAGTCAACAAAGTTCTACAAAACAGTATTGATGAAACTTAACAGTCTGCCAAAGATCTGACATTTAATATACCAACCCCCTTAATGACATTTAATATACCAACCCCCTTAATGACATTAAACATAAAAATAGTTAAAGACATGACCAAAAACAACCGCTGATTATGTTCATTACTTAGGACAGACACATGACTCATGTGGCAAGGTTAAAACCCGTTTTTCAGATCCCCAACTTCCCCTCTTTAATCTTGATCAGAGTAACTTAACAAAAGGTAAAAATGAGTACAAAAAACACATAACTCTATGATACTTATTTAGGAATAACAAAATCACAAGAACTAGGACAAGAATAATAATTCTAGTCAGTGCAATGGTAAAGAATGCTCACAGTTTCTGAGAGCAAGTTCAAAACACTATAACTTGTCGATGTACTTTGTTTCTTTGAAATTCGTTGTTTGTACTTCGAAATACGTAGATAGATTTCATACATTACTTGCTATTTTCAAGATTCCAGTAATCAAAACAAAATTTGTAAACTTAATTATTTTTATTTAGAATTTACACAACATGATTTTTGTCACGGAGTGGTTCACTCGGTGACACAACTTGGTACCGAAATAAACAATGACGGGTGACGATTTGCCCATCCGTTGGTCTGACCCAGTGTCAATAAGACTTCTTACTTCCGCCGTGTCAAGGGCTGTTATAAAACAACATAAAAAACATAAATCTTTTTTATAGTATACCTGTGGTCCGATGATAAGTATATTGTTCTATCTGAAAGATATCATTTCCTGAATATCGGAAAGCATTCAAACCAAAAAAACAACCAACGCTGAAACTGAGAGATAGTGTTTCTTTTGATTTTTTTTCATCTGACTTTTATTGTTTGATAAAAGTTGGCGAGGCAAAACAGTAATTGTGAAAAGGAAAGTAAATAAATGATTTAATTACTGACATAATTCAAATGTTTCTTCATTTAGCTGGAATACATTCTTACTCTTAAGATTGGGAGAACAAAGATTTATTGATAAGTGCTTGTTTACTGGACTTGTACTTGCATGAGCAACACGACCGGTGCCAACTCCCTTTCGGAGCACCTTAGTTCACACCCGGTTTTTGTAGGGGTTCGTGTTGCTCAATCTTTGGTTTTCTTTGTAGCGTTTTGTGGATTTGTTCGTCTTATTGTCGTTTTTCATTTTATTGCCATTGCGATGTCGTTGACTTATAAGTTTTGAATGTCCCCTTGGTATCGTCTGCCTCCTTTTTGTTGTTGGCTTGAACTAACTTTCAGTTACTATTATTTTACATTAATTGTGTTTAATCGTTCATGAAGGTGCGTGTGTGGTAATGTTTACGTAACGAGGTGATTAAACAATTTCATGCATCATGACATTCTTTTATTTGTAGCAAGTAAAATAGCTCCCGTGTTCCGCGAGAGACAACAGAGAACGTCAAATACCACACGATTGATGCATCGTCCATTCTCATCTCATGGCTCTCGTTTCTTCGCCAACAAAGATTCGAAAACATGCATTACACTTATCGTAAAGTAATCGTCGATTTGATCGGAGAGCAAGCGTTCTGAATATACACCGTGCTTCAATGTACAAAAAGTTCCGGAAAACATGTTTTAGTACAATTCTCAGGGCAAATTTGTATGGAATTCGTCTGCTTTCGTTTCGTCGGGTAAAAACTCAGGACAGTAAAGAAGTTGTTCACAGAAAGAGCATTTGGAACAGTTATCTTAATTTCGAACGAACCATTAAGTTCATGCTATGCCTAAGGTTTGAGGAAACCCATCCTATAAATAATAAGTAATAATCTTATATTTAACAATGACTCACAAACCATACTTGCCATATATTAAATTTGTGTGTGTACATATATTTATGTCTGATTTTTTTTCAGAAGCTGCCTGCATTAGTTGCTTTACAGCATTTAAAAAAATGTTACAGAGAGTCATATAGTAAATAATCGTGTCACAACCACAACTCAGCTTAAGGCCTCTTCTGAACATTTGAAGGTCCCCACTATGTATTGGTTACTTTCAGCACTTTTAACGAGTTCCTTAACTACTATCAAAGAACTGATCATTAATTTCTTAATAAAACATATGAAAATAGTGGAATTAACCATTTTTGGAGTGTAAAAAATTCTTTGGATGTTTTAGATAAATTAAGTGCTTTTGATGGTCCTTTTGATTCGGTTGACAGTTTTGACTTTTCCACTCTTTACACAACACTGCCACACATTTTTATCAAACAAAAGTTTTCCTATTTAATAAAATGATCGTTCGATAAATCTGGTTGCAAGTTTATTTGCTGCAACTCATACAAAGCCCTTTTCTCAAACGAGAAAGGTAAATATGCTAGATATACTTACTGGAGGTGTGATCAGATGATTAAAACCATAATTTTCTCCTTGATAACATTGATGTACGTTTCGGCAATAAAGTTTATCGACAGATTGTAGGTATCCCTATAGTCACCAATTGTGCCCCTTTAATCGCAGATTTATTCCTGTACAGTTATGAATCAGTTTATGGACAAACTCAGTAAAGACCCGTCTAAATTCCATTCAATTGATAAATTCAACATGACTTATTGTTATCTTGATGATATTTTTTCGTTAAATAATCAAGAATTTTTTAAATATACTGCCGAAATTTACCCACAGGAACTCAACTTATGCCTCGTTCACACGTACATTTAATTCGAATTGAATTCGAATCGAATGCGAATCGAATTCGCTAATCGCGTTCACACACTCTTCTTTTTTAATTCGAATTGATTCGAATTGGCTAAATCGCATTATCCAATTCGCATTAGAAATGCGTTTTTGTTAATACGAATTAAAAGTTAACGTCGTTAGGACAGTAAAGCGAATTTGACGCGCATTGCAATTCGAATTAGAATTTACGTTTGGACGTCAAACGTTTCGAATGCGAACTAAACTAATTCGAATTAGTTAATGCGAATCGAATTCGAATTACGTGTGAACGCAGCATCAAATAAATCAAATGTTAACAGCAATAAGTGTCCTTTCTTAGATTTATACATTTCAGTTTTACACCAGAAACTCTACACAAAAATTAACAAGAAAAGGGATGATTTTTCTTTCCCTATTGTTAATTTTCCCTTTTTTGGACGGTGATGTTCCGCTGGCACCATCTTGCGATGTTTATATTTCCCAACTCGTTCGTTATGCCCGTGTCTGTAGTGACGTTTTGGGTTGCAATGAGCGTAATCTGTGTATTGCTGGTAAAGTTTTAAGTCAGGGATTTCGTTACCAGAAATTACTTAAAACTTTTTTCTAAATTCTTCCATAAATACAAAGATTTAGTTTGCAAATTTGGCTGTACCTGTAAAAAACTTATTTCAGACGGAATAGCACATCCTACATTTTACTGTGATGTTGTTTACAGAGCCCGGAAATTATATACGATCCGGGTAGACTTTTCATTCCTTTAAATGAACTTATTCTAAAAGTTTACCAATTCAATTTTGTAATTAGATCTTTGAATATTGTTTTTTTGGTATAAATATTGATTTTGTTATCAGTAATTAAAATCATACTAAATAGTTTTGTTATCAAATATGCACTTTAACGGTACTACAATCTGTCGATACCTTTATGTTGGCATTGCACAAGGTCATGTTTTTCTCTGACTGTTAATGACGTCTTTACACTCCATCCATTTGATGTTGGATGTATACAAATTGATATTTTAGTCTTAGATACATGATTTTTTTATTATATTTTATTGGCTTTGAACTAGCTATAAATTAGGCCGTTAGTTTTCTCAATTGAATTGTTTCATATTTTTTATGTCGGTGCCTTTTATAGCCGACTATGCGTTATGGGTTTTTCTCATTGTTGAAGGCCATACGGTTGCCTATAATTGCTTACAACCACTTTATTTGAACTTTGGTGGATAGTTGTCTCATTGGCAATCATAATTCATCTCCTTATTTTTATATTAGTCTTAAACTTGAAAAAACAACTTATTTTTACATTAATCACCCTGATTGCATTTCTTTGAAGTTTCCTTTAATAAAAATTAAAAGTAGTTCCTTTAAAATATTTTCATCTGATTTACTATCACCTGACTATTTTAATAGTCCCAGCCTTTAAGTGTGATAAATTACTAAAGCAGCTGTAACTTTTGCAGGCGCTATTGGTGATCCCTGTATAACCAAGCCTTGTGCAAATGGTGGCATGTGTACATGGAAACGAGGGAAAAGTCCGGATTTTACTTGTAAATGCGCACTCGGTTACAAAGGAAAGTTTTGTCAGGAATGTAAGTAGACATTGGAAAAGCTGAGGTACATACTCCCTTCATTTTTTTTTCTTACTTTACAAACTCGTTGTTTGTTTTTTGTTTTGTTTTTTCATACAATGAATATAAAAACATGTAACTAACGTAATCTTTAAGAGTCAGTGGGTCATCCATTACTTCAAAAAGGAGTACGTAAATTAATTGGCGTACATTCCAAAAGAATCTTATAAAAGATTCTTACAAATAGTCTAACATTATTTTAATTGTTTAACACTAGCTGTCCCTGAATGCGATTCGCAGCCATGCCGAGAGAAAGGCTCTTGTGTGTCAACTCCTAAAGGATTTATATGCATGTGTACAGATGACTCTCATGGAATTTATTGTGAAGACAAGACAATGAAAAACAAAACAGGTAATTCAGTGGGAAAACATTTCATCTATACAAGTCAAATTTATTATTTATTCTTGTTTAATATGCTTTATTGCTGAAACACAGCAAATTATACAAGTTAGAAAAAAACTATATCATTTATAAGATAAACGTATGAAGGATAAAGTATGTGTACATACTCATACATACATGTATATGAATGAACGGCAATAAAACTTTTTTTAAATCATATGTATTCTGTTGTGAAATACTAGACATTTGTTTTCCTTCTCTTGTCTTCAAAAGAAGTTCTATAAAGTCTGCATCATATTGGTAAAAAAAAGTCATGTAGTAGGGATATATCGAGTACTCATTAAAAAACCGAATGCTTGCTGGAACAACAATGAGTCAACATGGAATCAGATCTACAAATTAACTATCTGTAGAAATACAAGAGAAGTATATATTAAATCATGACAACCGAGTTAGAATTATGATGTGTATCTAGAAATTTTAGCAGCTTATAGCAATTTGATTTTGAAACATCAAATTTTCAAAATGATAAACAGAATTTCTACGGATAGTTGTAGGTCTGAATCGATCCATGTTTCAAATAGGACAACCTAGTATAGCATTTCTTCAACACTCAGGATAATAAAAATATATCTTAGGTCAACGCCGAAATTAAGACTACGTTTTACTAGGTTAATTTACATAAACACAAAGAAATCTGATCTGTGAAATACAGATCCTGTGTCCAAGCTTATCATACAAAAGCAAATTTAATTTCTCAGGCTATAGCTGAAATTAGAGAGCTGAAATGAAAAAGTTATACTAATGAAAATTAAAATACCTGAATGGGCATTTTCAATCTGATTGAGATACAGATCCTGTGTTCACGCTTCGCTTACTTACTGGCTAGTGTCTGTGAAATCCTGTGTTCATGCTACGCTTACTTACTGGCTAGCGAAGTCCTGTGTTCACGCTTTGTAAACTTACTGGCTAGCGAAGTCCTGTGTTCACGCTTTGATTACTTGCTGGCTAGCGAAGTCCTGTGTTCCTGCTTTGCTTACTTACTGGCTAACGAAGTCCTGCATTCACGGTTCGCTTACTTACTGGCTAGCGAAGTCCTGTGTTCACGCTTTGCTTTTTTCTGGCTAGCGAAGTCCTGTGTTCACGCTTCGCTTACTTGCTGGCTAGCGAAGTCCTGTGTTCACGCTTCGCTTACTAATTGGTTAGCGTAGTCCTGTGTTCACGCTTTGCTTACTTTCTGGCTAGCGTAGTCCTGTGTTCACGCTTTGCTATTTTTCTGGCTAGCGAAGTACTGTGTTCGCGCTTCGCTTACTAACTAGCTAGCAAAGCGTGAACACAGGATCTGTAATTCAATCAGATTGGCACAGTCAAAACTAGATACACTATAAAGGGGTTGAATATTCCTCTAATTTGTAGAATGACTTTGAATAAATAAAACTTTTGAGCCAAATTCTTATAAAGTAAACATCATTGTCTTGATTTTATTTCAGTTATTTTTACTCCAGAAGAAGTTTACGAGGCTGAAACAGGCCTTGGTGTCTTCGGTGGACTTGTTGTGGTGATCATTATAATTCTAGTCATACATTTTATACGTGTCAACAAAAGAAGGTATACATTACTAAACTTGAGCTTTATTCAGTTTTCTTTGTGATGAATTAATCAATCATGACTGACATTTTTCATCAGGTCCAGTATTATAACAAAGGTCTAGATACGGGGGCAGGTCTTCATTTCTTATGCCATTTAAATTGTTTATTCTTCTATTCGTTTATTTGAGTCATTTTTTTCATATTCGTTTAACTTTAGCACTCCGTTTTTCTCGATTCCCTATTTTTTCCTTTCTTTTTTTTCTTGTCCATTATTCTCTATTTTGTAAACCCCATCCAGACCCTCTATCATGCAAAAAGTGAAATAGAAACTAAAATATGTTTTTTGTCTCTTGGTTTAAATAGATAGCTGTTAGTTTTTATTATCTCAAAACCAATTTCCCAAAACTTTATGTAGAGAATATTATATGGAGAGGCGGATTTAGGGGGCTTGAGAATGCCCCCCTCCCTTTTGTGGGAAAAATTTGGTTGATTATGTAGGGAATCACTGAAACATGACTGGAGCGGGCTCCCTCTTAGGCAGTCAGTTGGCCCCACTTATGAAAATTTCTGGATCCGCCACTGATATGTTTTTTCCCAATAACATATAACTGTATCAACCCGACACACCAATAAAATAGAAAGATCTCTGCTCTATGGATTATATTTGCTGAGGGTTGATAGGTTATGGTTAAGCAAACAGCAATAAATCAATCAATTCAGTCATCTGAGGGACACTAGCTTTGTGGAAAAAGGGGGGGGGGGTAAATCAGACCTAAAACTTCATAAGTAAAGTTACCGACTTACTCTGGTGTAAAAGTAAGGTTGTAGTTATTTTAGACAGATATATAGCTCTGTTATTAATTGGGTTCATGGACTTTACGTCCTTTTCATTTTATCATTCCATCTTTTCCAGATCATTTCTAATTTTTACGACTTGACAGAGGGGATTAATAAATGAATAGGACGATAATTATATACTAGTAGTAGTAATTTACTGTGTAAGTGTTTTAAGGTGCAGAACTGTTTTAACACAGCATAGGTAAAATGTTCTATTTGATTTCAGAGAAAATATGGTAGCCCAGTACCAACATCTGTTATCAGTGGAAGAAACACATCCACCTTTACCTCCTGGAATCTTTGAAGTCAGTAATTTATTATGCTATGAATTTTTCTGTTTTGCCTGTCCTAAATGGTCAGAATCACTCACAAAATACGCCTCGAAAGAAGTTTTACAGAAAGGTAATTTACTACAGAAACTTTTAAATGTTAGAAATAACGTGGTTAGCCATTACATGCAGTTTGAACGAAATGTTCACACAGAGAAGTATATTATAGCATCTTAATAGTATCTAAAACAAGCAAAATTGTAAAAGAATTGTATACTTCAGCTAATGTAAAAATTGTGAGATACATGTGTACAACAATGGGAACTTCGGAGGGTAGAAAAGCAGATATCAAGTCGTTACACAATACATATGGTGAATTTTCTTTAGTTAGCAATTTTCTTTAGTCAGCAATTTCCTTCAGTTAGAAATTTTCTTTAGTTAGCACGACATATCCTTCTACATTTCGAACCAAAGTACTATAGGTGCTAATTCCTTGCTTCGTGTATCTTGTAGCTTTTCTACGAAAATTTATTTGACGAATTAATGACGTTTACTCTGATAATGCTTCATATTACCAGAATTAAAATTAGGTTTAGTATGACAGGAAAATCCTTTAGTACCAATAGACAGAAAACTTAGAATCATGTGCAAAACAGTGTAGCCGAGACCATTGATTGGCGCGCTAAAATATCCCATTGACTGTGTCAGATTAGGTGAACGTTCGTCTGTAACGCCCACAACTCACGACGTATTCATTATAAACATTTAAACTGTGGGGTTGCCAAAGGGTCTCAGTATATATACGAACTACAGTGCACAGTATATTATATACATATTTTATTTGCGATCATAAAATGTACGAAGTCGTCCATTACTATGTAAATTGGGTCGATTAAAAAAAAAGCTGAATATGTTTCTGGTGCCAAGGGTTTTTCACAAGTATAGTAGTTAGCAGAAAAGATCATCAAACTATACATTGTATTCTGCTATATGTTTTGTGTTTGCACACTTTTTAAAGTTGATCATGCATTCGTTCTAAAATAAAATTTTGACCAGATAAAAGTTAAAAGATGACATAATTGGACAACCGCAATTGTTAAATCGCTTTGACGTCCGAAAAAAAAATAATACATCCATTGTAACTTTTAAAGCCAGTTAAATCCTTTTTTGCTGAAAGAACGTCCGATATCATAAAAATTCATTATCAAAACATAACAAAAACACAAGTAAAGAACGTTTAAGTATTCAATATAAATCAAAACACAAAGGTTACTCCTGATTAGTTTTCGAATTATTTTATTTAGGCGTTGAGACCCTTTGGTGACCACACAGTTTAAATGTCTATAATAAATACGTCGTGAGTTGTGGGCGTTACAGACGAACGTTCACCTAATCTGACCCAGTCAATGGGATATTTTAGCGCGCCAATCAATGGTCTCGGCTACACTGTTTTGCACATGATTCTAGGTTGTTCATTGCCGTATACATACCTACATGTTATTTTATATTTTTTTCTTAGCATAAAACCACATAGATAATGAAGACTAGATACTTTTTGTGATAGCTTCGGATCGTTGTTAAAATTGAATGAAATGATTTTGGCACATATTTATTTACCTACGAAATACATATTTCAGGTACGCTCGACTCCTAAATAAATATATATCACTGAATTTCATTTTTCATTACTGATTAACTTTGAACTAAATAATGTCTTGAACGTGACATTTTTATAATTTAGCAATATTTACGTTTTAGCTTCCAGTAAAATGGAAGAGGAACCATTGATGAATAGACAGAATTTACCTAGCATGAAAAAATCTCTGGACAGTGTATGGAGAGGTTCATTTGAAGAGCAGAAACCTAAATACCGATCAACGAGAGACAGACCGCAGTCATTAGTTTTTCCAAAGCAATATAGTTCAACAAGACCAAAAAGTTATTCTTCACTTCCAATGCATATGAGCCAAATAGAACAACAATACTCGTTGCACCCCCTAAATTACGAACAACCAGATGAAATTGTCAACATTGAACATGTGCAATCACAAGAGAGTCTCTTGAGCAGACAATCATCCCGTGTATTACCGCAAATACAGTCTCAAATGTCACCAAGGTTAAGAAATTTACAGTCTGAAATGTCACCAAGGTCAAACAGGTCCTTTAAAAAAAGGTCGTCTATTGAAAGACCATGGGGTTATGATTTCGATTCAGATGTGATTCGATCAAGGCGGAAATCACTGCGTCACCATTCACCTCACGAAACCTCAAGCGCCACACATGATGAAATAGCAGATTTGTACGACAGGATTTCGCACAGTAGACACGAAATTCCATCGCAAAATAACCAATATTTAGGAAATGTAGCAAGCGAATATAGACCACAACAGTTTGGCCAAAGTTTAGAACAAATGGAAAGCGAATATCGACGTCTTAGCAGGAGGCAATCTCCAAACAGAAGAAGTTCATCATCTTCTAACCGCCAATTTATGCCAATTCCACCACCTCCACCACCTCCACCACCTCCACTGCAAATTCCGAGAGATTCCGGTATTGACAGGAAATATGGATCATCTTTAATCAGACGACTTTCATCAAAGTTCGACCAGGGGATATATATACCGCCTGCTCCGAATGCTCCTCCTGTTCCACCGCCTCCGCCATTCACAATTGATGATTAGTTAAAGGAATCAGAAATTTTTTCTTGTCCAAATCAAGTGAATAAAATTGACATGCTCGATAATAATGTTCATTAATAAATAGTTTGTAAACTGAGTTAACAAATATTCAAATATAGAGATGGGGAAAGGCATTAAGGATGAAGGGGATGCCCCTCTCTTTGGGATTTTTTTTATAAAACGTAAAAATTGACCAAAATGAGGCTGAAGATTCTTTTTCCATATTTGACAGTCACTTCTTTGAAAGAAATTAAACGCTGAATAATTTAAATCAAAATATATCGACAGATTGCAATCTGGTAACGACGGGGCCGAATGAGAACATGCAAGAAAAATCATTCTAACATGAATCTTCTTTTTTCCTTTGATCTTTTTATGGAATAAAATAGAAACGACAAGCATATACCATAATGTATGCTTTAAAATGAAGCAACCAAATAATATTGCACGAAAAGTCACATGGGGCTATATGACTCAATAAGAAAACAGCCATGCAATAACCAACAACACTAAAACCAATATTGCATGGGTAAGCTCCGCCTCCTCAGGAAAAGATTACGCCTACAAGAAAGCACACGTATAAATGTCATTTTAATAGATTTCAAATAAAAAATACAAATTAAAGGAAATCTCTGCAGGTTTTTTCCGTTAGACAAGAGAACAAAAACTATAATGCCCACTCCTAAATTTCAAGAAGTGGCCGAAAAAAATAAATATAACTTCTGTCACTTCTGAAACAGAACATTTTTGCCAAAAAAACCGACATAATATACCAAAATGAAATGTTTCTCACATGCAGAGCTAATATAAAAGTGAATTAAGTTGAAGCTGTAATTTGAAAATTGAACTACCCCTTTAGTATTTGTAACGGTCTGGTCCTTTGACGTTTTATCACTGGAATGGCCAACACGCTCTTCCTCGACATATGAATAGAATAAAATATGTTTATTTCCAAAACTACAGGGCCCATAAAGGGCATATAAATCAGATGATCGACAAAATTGAAATGTGTACTAAAATAAAATATCTCAGTAAATATTTACGGATTTCCGATTATAAGCAAAACAAACAAAAAAAGACGATAATCGCAAATCAATCTAAGTTTATAAAAAAAATACACACCTGAGAGAGAACTAAATCATCGCCTTCGATGTCTCGCCAATCAGGAAAGGGTAATACGTCTGCCGTGCTTCCTTAAATATGTAGACACTGCGGTTTATTATATTTTCCCGCTAAACGATGATTTTTTTTTCTGCACGGACTGTCGTCTTTTCAATCTATAACTTAATGGGGCATTCACGTCACAAATCATTTATAGCAACGCCTTCCTCGTTAGCCAAAATAAACTTCTTACGCTTTGCGTTCGAAAGTTTATTTGTCTAACTCGGAATACTATGCTATAAATATAACGTAACAGAGAGTACTCTCAGATCTGTATTTTGTGTATTTTCTATTGTGAGGGATGTATAAATACCCTGCCACGTCCTGTCTGTCTTTTTGTTAGTTTTTTCTGCTTTGTATCGATCTGATGAGCTAAGCCTTTTTCAACTGATATTTATAGTTTGTTCTTATGTTGAACTGTAACAACACTGTCCCAGGTTAGGGGAGGGTTGAGCGCTCACAAACATGTTTAACCCCGCCACATTCTTTATGTGCCTGTCCCAAAGTAGGATTCTGTAGTCCAGTGGTTGTCGTTGATTCATGTCTGTCATATTTGTTTTTCGTAAATTATTTTGTTATAAATTAGGCCGTTAGTTTTCTCAAGTGAAATGTTTCATATTTTTCATGTATGGTCCTTTTATGGCCGACTATACGGTATGGGTTTTCTTATTGTTGAAGGCCGTACGCTTGCCTATAATTGCTTACACCCACTTCATTTGAACTTTGGTGGATAGTTGTCTTATTGGCAATCATATCACATCTCCTTATTTTTATAACTGTGTTTTTCTCGTTCCAATAACATAGTTATGTTGTCAGAACAACATGCCACTATAATATCTGTGAGTAGACATTTATCTAAATGAAAGTAGATGTGGGGTATTTAGTAACGAGAGCAATACAAAAAAAAACGCATCTTAAGTTCAACATACAGTCTTCAGCAATGAATAGGTACCTATACAATCTGTTGTAACACAATTGTGTTCCATACGATAATCATCAGGAAGTAACTACATACAGCAAAACCGAGACGATTACATGTAACCTTTAGACACTTAATAACAATCTGTACGAATATTATTGACATATACCCTGCAGCCACTAAATGACCATGTCTACTGTGAAATAACATGTATCCGTCAGGGGTTAATTGCATAGTTTGACAATTAACCACAGACTAGTATTACTCCACAACCAGACTACTACGTAACCGGCCTACAGCTATGGACCGTTTGTATGGACCACTAGACTATATAAGATCTCTCATTTTGGACTTCAAGACACAATTCGATCACACCAGAATTCGTCAGATCTCGGCCAGTGTCTCAGTGAAAAAACATTTATTTGAACTTTTAATCGCTCTTTGAATACTTGTAAATTAAGCAATAAATTCTAATTGACAAGTATTAGTTAACTTAATTGACTTCGCAACATAAGTCAAATTGGTGCCGTTCAGACCAAGGATCAACCAGGACTTCTAACCACTATACGATAGAAAGGAACCACGTAAGTTGCAATTACCATAGCTTTCATTCTTTTTTAATGGATAACCAAGATACTTCTATGTCAGCACAAAAAGTAGAATTAGCTTTCAATGGTGTCGCGAACGAACTTCATGGGTTAAGGGAAGTAGTTACTATTCAAGGCGATGTAGCCGCCGAACTAAAAGGGTTAAAATCAGCCATTTGTTCTCAAAACGTAGTTCAAGGAATAACGCCTTTTGAAGGTAATACGAAAGATTTTAAAGCCTGGATTAAGTCAATTGAAAAATATGCTTTACTTTTTAATGATAGGGATCGAATTAAGGAAATAGCTTTTCAAACATGTAAAGGGGCTTGTTCAGATTACATACAAAGGTATTTAAGAGACCATCGGGATACCACTTGGGAACAATTAAAAAAAGAATTAACTTCAAGGTTTGGAGAAATTACGGACCCTCAACATGCGTCAACTCTTTTGAGACAATTAAAACAAAAAGGGGACGAGTCTGTTCAAATTTATGCAGAAAATTTATTGAATTTGGCAAATGAGGCATATTCAGATTTAGATGGAAATAATGAAGCTATAGAAAGGGAACTCGTAGGCATTTTTATAGATGGTTTGGCTCATTCTTATTTAAAAATGAAATTAATGAGAGAAAACCCAGCTACTTTTTCTTTGGCAGTTAAAAGTGCAATGACTGAACAAAATTTGAGAAAAAGATTTACTTTAAGAACGGAAAGGGTAGACGAACCAAGGTATAAAACAATAAGACCAATGACATTAACTAGACCACGACGGACTGAACCTTTGAACTCTCATGAACCAATGGAAATTGATCATTATCGTGATGCAAAACGTTGTTATTCTTGTGGTAAAGTAGGTCATGTATCACGTGATTGTCGTTCTGGGGGAAATTTGAGACAAATTAATGCCGTAGAAATGCAAACATATCACGGAAATTCGGGTAGAAACAGGGAAATTAATTGTTATTCTTGTGGTAAGGTAGGACATATAGCACGAGATTGTCGTTCTAGGGGAACATATAGACAAGTAAATGCAGTTGAAACGCAACAATATCAAGGGAATTCGGGAAGAAATAATGAGATAATTTGTTATCAGTGTAATCAACGGGGACATATTAGGCCAAATTGCCCAAATAGAAAACCTAGGACTGTTAACATGGTAGAAAACTGGGGTGTATATCAGGAAAACTAAAGCGCTCTTGTCACGTTGAAGCCGGTGATGAGAGTAAAATTGAAAAGAAATTACCTACTTATTCTATAAATGTTGCAGGAGCTCCAAATTCAACTTTAATCAAAATTCAAAATCAAAGATATAGAGCTCTCGTAGATTCAGGCGCTAGTGTTTCTTTGATACACAAAAGAATTTTTGAAACTTTGAGGGATAAACCAAAATTACTAAAGAAAACGGCTAACTTACAGTCCGTAAATGGGGGGTCTTTACATGTAGAAGGTTGTGCAAACCTTACATTTAAAATAGGTAGTACAAAAGTTACTCAATTATTTTATGTTGTTAGAGACATGAACAGAAATGTTATTTTAGGAAAAGATTGGTTAGTACAAAATGGAGTTAGGTTATATTTTGATTTAGGATGTTTAAGAATTCAAAAAAATTATGTTCCATTAGAAGAAGATATTAATGTGGCTTCAATTGTAAGATTAACCGTAAATGCCGTATTAAAACCACAAACAATTAATGTTTGTCCCGTAGGCCTTAAGAACAATCCAAGTTTTGGAAGTACTAAATTGTTAGAAATCTCACCTGTAGCTTCAGGGTATGTTAGTACAGAACCAGGCTTAATGATAAGTAATACGGTGGTTAATTTTAATAAAAATAGGAAGTTTCCTTTGATGATTGTAAATAACACAAACAAATCAATTAGGTTAAGAAGAGGTTGTGTAGTAGGTAAGGCTTCTCATTTAGAAGAAATAAATTTAGTCAATGTTAATCAATCACAAGGAACTTCGGAACTCAAAAAGTTAGATGAGTCTGAAATAAGTGTACCACAAGAATTTAAAAAGGATATACTTAGAATGTTAAGGGATAATGAAGATATTTTTGCAACTTCAGACAAAGATTTGGGGTGCACTGATACAGTGCAAATGACTATTGATACCGGGGATCATCCACCTATCAGATTAAAACCCTATAGGGCCCCTCTCAATCAGAGAAAAATAATAGATAAGGCTATTGAGGAATTATTAGAGGCTAATATTATTAGGAAATCTAGGTCGGCTTGGGCTGCGCCTATTATTATCGTTTCTAAAAAGGATAAAACATCAAGGATGTGCGTGGACTATCGCAGCCTGAACGCAGCCAGTAAAATTTATTCCTTTCCGTTGCCCCTGATTGATGACTTGCTTGCTTCAGTAGGTAAAGCCAAAGTAATGACATCGCTTGATTTAAAGTCAGGATATTATCAGGTAAAGGTCAAAGAGTCGGATAAGGAAAAGACTGCTTTTGTATGTCACAAGGGATTATTTGAGTTCAATGTATTGCCATTTGGTCTCGCCTCAGGGCCCAGTTTATTTAGTGAATTAGTTACAGAGGTACTACAAGGGTTAGAACATTTTTCAACTGCTTACATAGATGACATTTTGATATTTTCCGAAACAGTGGAAGAACATTTAGGCCACATACAACAAGTTTTTGATAGATTAAGACAACACAAACTAAAATTAAAATTGAAAAAATGTAATTTTTTGCAAGATGAAACTAATTACTTAGGCTTTATAATAAGTAAAGATGGACTAAAACCAGATCCTGAAAAGGTTAAGGCCATTCAAGGCATGAAAGCTCCCTCGAATGTCAGGGAAGTTAGAGGATTAATAGGTTGTTTGAGTTATTATCGCAGATTTGTACCTTCATTTTCAAAAATTGCGGAGCCTATAGTTGCCTTAACTAGGAAAAACAAGGTTTTTGATTGGACCAACACTTGTCAAGTTGCTTTTGAAAAATTAAGGGGTGAATTAGTGAAAGTTCCCTTATTGGCATATCCAGATTTGAATAAACCATATGTGCTTTACACGGACGCTAGTGATAATTGTGTAGGCGCTTGTTTAACGCAATTACAAGCCAGCCCAATAGAGGGTGAAAATGAAGTTGAAAGACCAATTTACTTCCTATCTCATAAATTGAGTGATACGCAAACACGTTGGTCAACCATTGAAAAAGAAGCCTTTGCGATTCATTATGCCTTACAAAAATTGAACCATTATTTGTATAATGCTGAATTTGTGATAAAAACAGATCACAAACCTTTGAAATACATTCTGGAATCACCAATGCAAAATAAGAAAATTCAACTGTGGGCATTGAACATAACGGGTTATAACTGTACTATTCAGTATATTCCAGGGCCCCAAAACGTGTGTGCAGATTTTATGTCTAGATTACCTTCAGATGAAAAACGAAACGAAAATCCAGATCCGTATCCGGATATTAGTGACAATACTTACGAAATTAATGTGATTAATTCAAATAGATTTCATTTTTCTGATTATGCAAATAATGATAAATTAGTTGAAGATATTCCAGAAAAAGAAAATTTTCAGTTTGAAGAATTTGATATGTCAATCGAACAAATGAAAGACAAAACATTACGTGAGTTAAAGGAACAACTTGTAAGCGATAAGGTACCCGAGGCAGTGCAAAACAAGTACATCATAATAGATGACATACTTTATTACATTTCAAATGTAGATAATGATCCTATTATAAGGTTGTACATACCTTCTCATATAAAACAAGCAGTTGTAGAACAATATCATGATAAGAATGGGCACATGGGCATTGACAAAACATTTGATTCCATTCGTCAAAAATATTTTTGGCCAAACATGTTTAAGGAATTGTATAATTATGTCACTACTTGTGTACCTTGTCAATCACGCAATTTACAAAAGGTTAGAGCGCCAATTCAGGAAACAAAAATTCCGCCTTATCCTTTTTGTCATGTAGGGGTAGATTTGAGTGGACCGTATCCAACTACCATGTCAGGTAACAGGTACATTATAGGATTTATCGATTTATACTCAGGGTGGCCAGAAGCTTTTAGTGTCGCAACAAAAAGCACTGACAATGTTGCACATCTTTTGATTGAAGAAATTACTTCAAGGCATTCTGGGATTCAAATTCTAACAAGTGATAACGGAGGGGAAAACTGTTCTAAGGCTATGGAGGAAGTTTGTAAGGAACTTAATATAAAGCATATTAAAACTTCATTCTATCACCCTCAGGGTAATGCTAAAATAGAAAGATTTCATAGAACATTACATGATGTTTTGTCAAAATTAATAGAAGATCATTCCACAACTTGGGATTTATACTTGAACCAAGCTTTAGCAGCAATTAGATTCAATATCAATGAGTCCACCCAACTTTCACCTTTTTATGCATTATATAACAGGGATCCAGTTTTACCTTTAGATAACATTTTACAGCCTAGGAGAAAATACAATGGGGAAGAATATCATAAAATTGCCTTGCAACAACAACATAAATCATTTATGTTGGTTCATAAAACCATGAAAAAATCTAAGCAGAAACAAGCTAAGTACGCAAACAAACATAGCAAAGATATAAGGTTTGGGGTAGGAAACCCAGTTTTTTATAAAAATCATAGAAGGGCAAGCAAACTTTCAAAAAAATGGACTCCGTACTATAGGATTATAGAACAAACTTCACCTGTTAGTTTTATTTTAAAAAATCAGTTAGATGGGACAACCACAAAGGCTCATGCTGAACAAATTCGTTTGGCTAAGTTAGATTGGGAAATTCCTAACAACAATCAAGGTAGGACATTACGTAAAGCTGCATATGTAGTTCCCATTGAGTCACAATCAGAAGACTCCTCTGATGATGAAAGCATAGATTCAGACACTCCGTTAAATCAAATTGCAAAAAGATATAAAAAAGAAAGGGAAAATTCTGATGAAGAAGATGATATACCATTAATGGAGTTATCTAAAAAATTAAGGGGGAAGAAAATTTTCTCAGAACAAAATAATGTCAATAATAGTGAAATAGAAAGTGATGATCAAATCATAAAAGAAGAAGTAGAAAATTCGTCTACTAATTCTGAAGTTTCTGACATTGATGATAAAATGTCCAGCAGTCACGCTTCGCCTGTTGAATCTGAAATTTCCGACATGGAAGATAACATGTCTGTAAACCGGGTTAAAATAAAAAATAATCGGAAACCAACTGATAATGGGGCTAACGAAACAAAATTGGTAACCAAGGAACATGTACAAAATTTAGTAAGGGCTTTAATAGGTATTATGTAGGTATCAATTGGCTTTATAGGTCGTAAGAAGGATGCAAATCATTTAAAAATTTCTAAAACTTATAAACTATGTAATAAAACTAGTATTTATTCTCATTTTACAGAATGGCAGACAATGAAGAAAGCTTTGCCCAGCTAGAATCCCTCTATTTGTGGAAACTATTACCTGATAATTTATGGTGGGACATATATGTACAATTTAAGATCAATTATTTCCGGGAAATACTAGATAGAAAGAGAAGGGAACCTCTATTTAAGGAATTCCACGCTATACAGAAGCTTATTAACCTGTCGGATCCAATTATAATTGACAATTATTGTGGTTTACCCACAAAATTCGCAGAAATAATTGGACGCCGGAAACAATTTGCCGAAATACATAACTTATCCTATCAGGAGCATCTTAGGAAGTGGACGGTGGAGAACTTCAAAGCCATTGGATGGTTAAAACGATCCAATCGCTTTGGGGTTTACCACCAAGAAGTGATTCTAAACAAGGCAAGGAAAATGCACCGGATACGCATTTTCGATCTGATAATTAAATTTGAGACTGTGAAGGAAAACAACCAAACATTTTATTCAGGACTATCATATGAATTCCAAAATTGATAAAGGCCAGATAAATAAAATATATTATGATAATTTATATATGTATCATTATTTTTAGGGAGAACCAGTGATGAAGTGGTGGTGGTTCTCACTTGTTCTTTTTGGCTTAACCAGCCAATTCATTGTCAAGGAAAATGTCATGTTTCAAAAAATTAAGGAAATATCAACCACAAGGTCAAATTGGCTCATTACTTTTGTCGTAGACTTGGATCCTTTTGAATTATTTCTTAATAAAATAGAACAAGACTTGGGCAAGGCTTTTCTCGCTACACAAAAAGTTCACACAATTTCTATGTTTTACACCCCAGAAAAAAAACACATTTTGGCTACTATCTTAAGTCTACAAAGGGAGGTTGAAGGATTAAATCGGACTAAAGATTATTTACAATCACAATTCAATGATTACCAATCTTTATATTACGACGAAACGGCAAAGTTTAAAACTAAACGTAGCTTATTTCCTATTATAGGCAAGGCATTAAGTTTTTTATTTGGTACTGTATCAGACAGCGACCTGTCAAAAATTCGAAGAAATATCAAAACTTTGGCACAAAATCAAGATGCAATTCGTCATATTGTTCAAGATGGGTTAACTATCTTAAACACTACACAAACACATGTTTCTGAAAATAGACACAAGGTTAATGAGTTGATTGAAAGTGTTCAAGATCTTGGAAATAGACTTCAAACTTTTGCTACGGATTTAGAAAAACAAATTGAAGTTATGGGAAGTTATTTACAAGCTTATTTGCATATGGACATGATAATAGGTGAAATAAAGGACCTTATGAATATAGCCGGGGATTATTTAAACCATTTGCAATTACAACTAAACATGTTGTCCTTAGGACACATGTCACCCAGTCTTATATCACCCGGTAATTTACGAGTATTATTGACTGACATAAAACGACGACTACCGGCGACATTAAAGATACCTGGTGACGAAGTTAAAGATATTTGGAATTTTTATAAATTTTTGACCTGTAGTACAGTTTTGGACGAAAACAAAATAATCATTATCATTACGTTACCATTACTAGATATAAGAGACACTTATGAAATTTATAAGATTCACAACTTGCCTGTTCCTACTACGATAACTGATAAACAATCTGACTCGAGCAATATGGTTGCTCAGTATGAATTAGAAGCAGAAGTTATTGCTGCAAACCAAGAAAAAACTAAATATATGCTGCTAAATACCAATGAAATTGACAAGTGTTCCAATCCTTTAGTTAATTTTTGTGAAATTAAAAGTCCAGTTTATCCAGTTAATTTAAGTAAATTATGTATCATAGCCTTATTTGCCAATAAAGAAAATTGGAAAACAAGATGTACAGTGAAAGTACGACCAAACACAATTTTGCCTATGGCAACTTATTTGACCGATAGTATGTGGGCAGTTACAACCATTAATGAATTTAGAATCACTATTAGATGTGATGACAATACAAACATGTTGACGGATCAGATAATTAATCCTCCTACCACTATAATTAATTTAAAGCGAACTTGTACCGCTACGAGTGATCATTTGACCTTATTACCTACTTATCAAATGGAAAGTACATTTTTAACAGAAAAAACGTTCGAAAGATTCTTAAATACCTTTCAAGTACTGAATACAAGTTTATGGGAACCCTTTCATGCTGCTTTGCCAAATTTTACAAAGCTTGAACTACCAAGAGAACTAAAGGCGATTAAACAAATTCCTATGAACGCTTTGATTGAAAAACTTAGAAATTTAAGGGGAATTGAAAACGATTTTGAATTTCCAAATTGGGGAGTAGGTTTATCCCTGGGTTTGGGTGCGATATTCATTGGAATAGCTATATTTTTGTACTGTAAGTTTTTTAGAAACAAATCTTGGTTAGCCAAAAAGAAAGGTGTGAGTTCGGGTTCTAATGCCACGAACGATGGGTACCAAATGGTGACAACGCAAATGGTTGGGACAGAAGTACCTGATTCCAGAGAGAAGATTCCCTCTGCACCATTACTCAAAGACGATGCAAGACCGAAGACCGATGCTACCAGTCTCTTGAGAAAGATGTACCCAGAGCTAGATACGTCGACTACTTCGTAAAAGGACTGGATTGTAAACCATACAACGTAGACGACCGAATCCACTAGCAGAAGACGAACCGTGTAAATAATTTTAAAGTGACCCTATGAACTGTGTAAATAGAATTGTATAAACATTTGCGTTCCTACCCAGTATTGAGGAACAACTTACTATGATGGTGATGGAAATAAAACATGAACTATGTATACCGAAATATGGAACTTATGATTCGAATGAACTATGTGTAAATATATCCAGCTATTAGACTTGATGAATGTGATGAACTTATTATATCATGATATTGGACTCGTAGAACTTTATAAACTTTAGATATGTGGTGATGGTTACCGGAAACCTTACAATAAACTATTAGAATAACCTACAGGAAGAAAAATACCGTATTTTATTGAACTTTCGTTCTATTTTGGAGGGAAGGCATTATGTAACACAATTGTGTTCCATACGATAATCATCAGGAAGTAACTACATACAGCAAAACCGAGACGATTACATGTAACCTTTAGACACTTAATAACAATCTGTACGAATATTATTGACATATACCCTGCAGCCACTAAATGACCATGTCTACTGTGAAATAACATGTATCCGTCAGGGGTTAATTGCATAGTTTGACAATTAACCACAGACTAGTATTACTCCACAACCAGACTACTACGTAACCGGCCTACAGCTATGGACCGTTTGTATGGACCACTAGACTATATAAGATCTCTCATTTTGGACTTCAAGACACAATTCGATCACACCAGAATTCGTCAGATCTCGGCCAGTGTCTCAGTGAAAAAACATTTATTTGAACTTTTAATCGCTCTTTGAATACTTGTAAATTAAGCAATAAATTCTAATTGACAAGTATTAGTTAACTTAATTGACTTCGCAACACTGTCAAGTTTTTAAATTGCCCCTACTAAAAAAATTGGAATAAATAAACAAAGACAGAAACACAACAAACTAAAAAAAAACCACAAAAATTTCGGTATTAGCTTTCAGCTTGGTTCAAATTTGTTAAAATATTAAATCTCAAAAATATCGCAAATGTATTATTGGCTTGCAAGTCAATAATTCATCTCATATGAGTCCGTAGTTTGTGCGATTATACTTTTAAGGAGTTGATTGACAATTTCAGTAATGTTAACTCATCTGTAAACCTTATATACTAACGATCATCAAAATTAGTATCCTACTAGTATTATTACAGCTTTGTTTTTATCCCACCGTTCAATGCAGTTGTGTGACTACTAGATCATCGATCGATGCAATTAGGAGATACTGGTTAGACATATATATAAGTCATCAACACAAAAACAAACTTATAAGGACCAGGACATGTAAATGTGGTATGAATATAAACCTTGCTAAATGCGAGAACGCTCCCACAAGATCACCGATGCGGTTTATCTAAATGAAATATAATGCTTATGTTTTTCGAAATTTTGTAAAAAAAAATATTTTCTCTTTTAAAAAAATATGTTTTTATCCTCAATTTTCTGTAAATCGTTAAAAGCAACAACAAAATGATTGTTTCCACTTGTGTCTGTTTGGTTACTGAAGTTTCTTTAATCCTTTTTTAAGGATGTACTTATGTGTAAATTAAAAAGAATTTAAAATTAATAATATAAGTCAGAAGAGCATTAGTTATTAAAGGAACAAAATATGCTAAAAATATTGATAGGTTATGGAGCTCCTTTTCGAGATATTTTTGTATTTAAAAAATGGCGTTAGAAGGCTGACTCGGACTTTTCCCTTATATTTGCTTTGGTATTATTTCGGTCTCAAATCGAAAGAAAAGAAATCTAGGATCTGCTTAAATTTGGTAAATGACCTTTTATGAGCTATTAAAGTCTTATTTCAAAAGAAAAATGGGTGTTAAGGGGCAAAATGTTTTACCCTGTATCGTTGGAAAAAAACCAAGGAGTCCGAACATCTGACAAAAATTCCTAAACCTGACCTAAGTACATCCTTAAAAATATAGCAATATTAGCATTATGTCTTCTTTTGTTCATTTGTAGTGCTTTTATCCTATATAATATAGTTTGTACAAAAAAAAAATTTTCAAAGATACTTAAAATAGAATTGAGACTATATTAGCTCTTGTTCTTTTTGTATAGAATAAATTGACTTTGCAGTGAGTTGCGAGCTGATACTCTTTGTTAAAGGTCTCACTCAGTATATGTGACGTTAAGGTGAAGAGATGAACATGTTCCTTTTCTTATCAGGTTTTGACAGTTGCATGTAAGGACTTAATTTGTGTCGATAATTGCTACACCATATCAATTCTTTCCCATAAATATAGAGAGAAAGGAGTAGTTTCAATGTGTTTTCGTTTATGTATAGGAATAACATTGCATCCATGTGTGTTAACTTTTCTTGATTCTTTTGAATTTATTCAAGACACTATCAGTCATTGTCTACTTATTTATTGTCTCGAAATAACACTACGTCTACTTGTAACTTGCATATCTCTTTCTCGAATAATCTGTGTCCATGTATCCCGTACACAAAATATACATACATTAAACTGTGTAACGAAGTAGTGCCTGCAAACGTTTGTAACTTGTAAGGGTAAAATGAGACTCCTCTGTGGTGTATTCCAGTCTTGCTATAGTCCTTGCTAAATGAACGTTTTGATTTCAGCAAGATTATTGCACGTGTACATTTCTCTGTTGATATAGTTCAACATCTCGACCACTTTTGTTAGAAACAAGCAATCTACCATCCTTCAAAATGAGTAAAACAAATGGACGTTGTAATCTGTTATTTGACGTCATTATTTTACATGTTTCTTTTCCATCAGAACTCACTCTGTATATATTACTGGAATCTATTCCTACCACAAATATATCGCCATGTTTGTCAACAGTTATGCCATATGGGGCTATAAGATTTCGGTCTGATAAAGAAAAAACAATCTCTCCGTCTAACCTCACACAAGTTAATCTGTTGTTGACTTGGTCTGCACACACGATCTCACCTGAACTAACAGCACACAAATATAGTCGCCCAGTTATATGCGGAATAGAACCGATAAAATTTCCATCTATATTAAGTATCTGAAGTCCTTTGGTTTTGCAATTGACGATTAGTTTAGCTTGAACAGTTGTCAAACCTTCTACGTCATCGTCCATGTCAAAACGGTTGAGAACTCTGCCTGTTACAACACCGACAATCATCACATTTCTTCGTCCCTGTGTTACTGCTATCACCATTTTGTCGATAACAGCGATGCTATCGGGATATTCTCCTATTGACAGTTCTCTAGTAGTGTTTTTGTTCATATCATGTACAAGAATATTTTCAGACAATCGATTTGATAAGATTAAAACGCCTTCATCTAACTCTTTGATATCAATTACTTCTAATTCGTCTTTTTCTGTTTGTATATCTAGTTTCTTCAAAAATTCAAAACGTGGTTTTATTTCAAGAGAAACTATGGTGTCTTCAGCTAAAAGTGGTGGTCCTTTTATCTCTATCGGTAGTTTTTTGTGTATATGTATAGTCCCAAGTGCAGAGATATTTTGAAATGTTAACATTTCCTTCGTCATAGTAAAGTCAATAGAAATTTCACTAACGTCGTCTTGATTCAACACCGCTTCACTGTCACCAGAAATACGTTTAATTGTCAAGAAAGATTCAATTTCTGATAGTCCAGATACATTTTCAAGCTCCCATAAATAATGTTCAAGCTGTTTTATTTGTTCTAAATAAAAAGTCTGTAGTTTCTTCAGGTTTGAGCATTGCTCGTCATAAATGTTCTGATATTCTTTTAGTATACTGGTCTCCAAATCATCTAGATGTTTATCGACCTTCCTTCTATAGTGTGTTAATGTATTCTTGAAAACGACTTTCTCTCTTTCGAGTTTTAAGAGGTTGCTGGCAATCCTTGCTGGTAAAAAGTTCACCTGATTTAGATGATTTTGTAGTAGATGTGAGGTATCTTCGTAGATATTCCTATTTTTCACATCAGATATGACTGCAGGAATATTTGATATTTCTTTGCACGAATTGTGTCCATCCTTCTTACACTCATGACATAAAGGTTTTTCGTGTATATTGCAGAAATATTCTACATGTTTTCCAGGGTGATGTTTACAGAAAACTCTATCTTCCATCATCTTACCAAATTATATCTATATTTCATATTTTTGTAAAATATACAAAAAATGTTCTTTTTACTTGCAGTTTTGATATCAAATAGACAAAAATTGTCAGCATACAGATTAACTGTATATAATAGATTAATGATATGCATGCGTTAGTAAGATTTAAAAAAACCCTAAGTATCACTTTTGTTGTTAATATCTGTGAAGTATCTCGGTCCACATGTTTCTGTGTCCAGCTATTTCTACAATGCTTCACCGTTGCATACTGGTATAACTGTCATCTGAAAGAAATGCGATAAAAAGTTACTGTATATATGCTGTAAATGTTAAAGTACTAAGTTTTTTTCTACATACATGTATATATAAGGCGACTGTAATGTATGTATAAATAAGATGTGGTATGAGTGCCAATGAGATATCTCTCCATCCAAGTCACAATGTATTAAAAGTAAACAATTATAGGTCAAAGTACGGCCTTCAACACGGAGCCTAGGCTCACACCGAACAAGAAGTTATAAAGGGCCCCAAAATGACTAGTGTAAAACAATTCAAACAGGAAAACCAACGGTGTCTATATTACAAAGTCCATGTTTCCTATGTAAAAACTCCCAAAATCATTGGAGTCCAAAATAAAAATAGAGATACAAAACGCTGTTAGGTTCTACAGATTCTCTGAAGGTTTCATTGAAATCAAGTCGGTTGAGGTTTCATCATCACATTTGTGAATTATAATGCGAACTCCTCACCTGTATAGATAAATCACTTGCATATATAAAGAGGCGACAAAGTCACTTTGAATTCGATGAAAGTTATACTGAAGTCAATAGTTTGTTTGGGAGTCGTTGTGAATGCAGAGTGAAAATATCGAATAAACAAAAAGACACACAATCATCACTATAAACCTCTCGTCACTTAACAAAGATATAACGAACACGGACATGTGTATACCATTGTGATTTCTTATTGTTTATGCAACTGACAACTCCAGAAATAACCTACCTTACTACAAACGAAACTTGTTTTATCTGACGTATATGTTGAAGTAAAACATCATACTACATACATATATACACTGTTTTCGATCAATAACGTCCATTTAACAACAAATGGTTTAGAACAAGTCTGAACGGAGATCAAATCATAATAATATTTGTACATGTTCTATTTTTGTATACTTTTGTTCAATAAATTTAAAAGACATGAAATGAAAGTAATATTCAAAATTGGTCAATCTAACGTTTATCGACCGTAACAGATTAATTATAAACTACTCGGTTTTAACGAAAACGATTCTGTTTATTCGTTTTTCTTATATCTTTCACGTGTTTTCAACAGTCCCTCAAGGAAAATAACCTTACAATGTACAAAAATTGGTCGGGGAAAAGTAAGCATGCACATTATACCAAAATTCTACTAATCAATAATAAAAAAGTTTTGCAACCCCACTCTTAGACAAATAAAAACAATTGAAATGAAAGAGGACACTGACTAATTTCTAGAATATTAGACTATAATACATTTGTTGCGTTTTTTTTTTGTTGCTTGTCACATTCAGTAATTTGGTAAAAGGTGGATACAAATTTTTGGCTAGGTACCCGTTACATTACAGTGCACTGTTTTAACAGCGTCACATAAATGCAAAATTGTCTAAATTTCATAAAGTTATTCAAATTAATGAGATAAACACTGCTTGTTACAAACAAACCCAGAGTGATACTTTACGTAAAATTTATCTATAATTTTTCCATAATTAAGGCGATAAACAACAATAGATAAATTAATATGTTTCAAGATAAAGCAAAGATCTCACTTCATTAGCATACATTTTGTTATATATATACACATACATGTACATTATACAAAACGGTGTTAAGTTTCAAAGTCACAATCCTCTGGACACTGTTATGCATAGTTTAGTGTGAAGTGAATATGTTTCGTAATTTTACACCCCTTTTATTATTGGGGATATTTCTCCAAATTTTAAAGCTGACAGAACAAAATACCAGACATAAAAGAAATATTTCACCCGATCTGTAAGTATATTTCATATTATCCAGTTACCCATTAAAAAATCTATGATTTCATTATTTTAAAAACTGCGTTTACTGATTTAAAAAAAAAACCCACAATATTCAAATCTATTTTTATACATATATCATTAAGATATAAATATCATTTTGCAAGCATAATAAATGGTCTTTCCAAAACAAAACCCATTTACATTATACGTTACGTACGAATTATGTTACCTTCAAATCTCTTTGATCAGCAAACTAGAAGCTCTAAAGAGCCTATGTCGCTTACAAGGTCTATGTGCTTCTTCAACAACGGACACTCTCAACTCTGTAGACTAGAATATAATTCATGACTTATATATATTTTTTGTTGACTTTGTATTGCTGATCATGCTTTTCTGAGTACAGTTGATTTTATCTTCTATAGTTTTTGCCCTAAAAACACGGGTACAAATCGTCATATAAGGACAATAACTGTTATTAGAAGACAACTGACAATTTCATCTGTAGATCTTGTCTTGCTGATCATTTTTGCCTTTTTAATGATATTATATTTCTATAACGGTTTTCAAAAAATAGGCAAAAAAACGCTCAAAACAAAAAAGATGAAAATCGTCATTAAACGGCAATAACTTCTATAAGGAGTTTACTAACAATTTTAGAAATGTTGACTGTTGTTACATTTCTATATCTTATCTTGTTGATAATTTTTGCTATTTAAATTTCTGTCTATCTATTATAGTTTTCAAGATAATGCCATTAATGGATAAAACATAAAAAAAAAAAATGGGAGAAACTTTCAATTAAGGACAAGAGCACCTATAAGGAGCTGACTGATGGTTTCGACCATGTAAAATTATTTATAGATTTTGTCTTCTTGGTCATTTTTGCTTACAAAGCTTTTCTCTATCTGTTGTAGTTTTCAAGAAAATAGGTTAAACAAATGGTAAAATTCATCATTTAAGGGCGATAGCTCCAATAAGAAGTCGTCTGATAGTTTTGATGTAGTATGTAGTAAATAGACATTGGATGGAGAGTTGTCTCATTGGCACTCATACCACATCCTCTTATATCTATTGGGTAGATCTCAACATTCTGAACGGTTCTACCGCTGTCAGATTTTTTCTATCTTTAGCGGTTTTCAACATAATAGACTAAAAATGCAATTTACCTCTATGTTCTATTTTTAGTCATGTCAGCCATGTTGGTTGGCAAACGGGACACATTTTAAAACCAGATACCCTAATTATCATTATGGTCAAGTTTGGTTTTAATTGGCCGATAAGCTTCAGAGTAGAAGATATTTGTAAAAATCAACGGACGACTAAAGACGACGGACGCTAAGTGATGGGAAAAGCTCGCACTGACCATTAGTATTATTTAATTTAAATCGAAAAAGAGTCAAGATGTTCCAAGAGAATGTGTATTTCGGTAGAAGCTACATACTGTTACAGAAATGGAATGGTCAGAGATTGCGCTATAATTGACTATGCAACTTTACCAAAAACTTCCCATTTTTACCTAACTTTGCAATATCTGTGACCTTTAACCTATTAACGAATGAAATAATCCCAAACACATCAGAAAGAGGTATGATGGTTTCACTTCTCGATTTCGCATTTTCGACTTCGCGTTTTCGTGTTTTTCAATTACTGCCCACTTCTGTCAATATAATATCTTTATTTAAAGAGAGTTACTCGTTTGGAATAAACCAATATTCAGTCATGCTCTCTACATACAATATTAGTTACATGAATAAAACATAATTAATCTACCAATGTGCAAAGATAAACAATATGACTGTATACAGAATGATAAAGCAACTATGGTATACACATTGTTGTTAAACTTACAATTCAACACTTTGTTAAAATATAATGACTTGTAAGAGCATTTAAATGCAGATACAGTTTTTGATTTTTCAATTTTACTGGATAGTAAATTTAGCACTTTTTTCTTAGATACGGGAATAATTTTAGATTCATTAAAAAGTTCAATAGATCACGGAAGTAGTAAATTGAATATAATTTTTCCATGAATAAATTTCGTGGATTATGATTCACACTTTATTTTATAATTCTTACATTCTTCCACATTTGGATTACTCTTGTTCAGTATGGGGAAACTGTAACAAGTTTTTAATTGACAGTTTACTAAAATTTGATTGACAGACATGGCCAGTAATAATTGACAAACGCGATTTCGCGTTTTCTCTTTTTTCCCGATTTCGCGTTTGTCAATTACTAGATATAAGAAAATGTGGTATGAGTGCCAATGAGACAACTCTCCATCCAAGTCACAATTTATAAAAGTAAACCATTATAGGTCAATGTAGGGTCTTCAACACGGAGCCTTGGCTCACACCGCACAGCAAGCTATAAAGGGCCCCAAAAATTACTAGTGTAAAACCATTCAAACGGGAAAACCAACGGTCTAATCTATATAAAAAACGAGAAACGAGAAACACTTATGAACCACACCAACAAACGACAACTGCCCACTTCTGTCGATCATCTCGTATCTTTGATCTGATTGCATGGATAATGATTAACATTTTGAAGATTACCTGGACAGTATTATTTTCAAGTATTATTATTTGTTACATTGAGTACTTATGTATGTAATATTAATAATAATAATTTCTCCATAATAAAACAATAGTAATCCAAATGTGAAAGAATATAAGCATTGTAATATAAAACTTATATAATCATGATACAAGAATTTTATTCATTTATTCATGGAAGAATTATATTCAATATAATACTTCCATGATCTATTAAACTATTTAAGGAATATGAAATTATTCCCGTTACTAAGAGAAAACTTTTTTTAGTGGTCCAAAAGTGTGAAATTTACTATCAAAATTAAAAAATCAAAAACTGTATCTGCATCTTAAAACTCTTACAAGTCATCATATTTTCAACAAAGTGTTATTTTGTAAGTTTGAGAACAATGTATATATATATATATATATATACCATAGTTTTATTTTTCTGGTATATGAATACATATTGTTTATCTTTGCATATTGGTAGATTAATTATGTTTTATTCATGTAACTAATATTGTATTTAGAGAGCCTACTGAAAATTGGTTTATTCAAAACGAGTAACTTTATTTAGATAACGATATTATTATTATTATTACATACATAAGTACTCGTTTTAAAAATTAATAGTACTTGAAAATGATATAATCCAGTCAGGTTATCTTCAAATTATTATTCATTATCCAATCAGATAAAAGATACAAAATGATTGACAGAAGTAGGCAGTAATTGACAAACACGAAAACGCGAAATCGCGAAAACGCGAAAATGCGAAATCGCAAAATAGCGAAGTCGAAAACGCAGAATTGAGATTTGAAACCATTTCGCGCTTTCGCGTTTACGCCCTATAGAATATGAAAGGCGAAATGTCCTTACATCATTAAACCTGTGAGATTGAAAATGAAACATAATTGGCAAATATAGAATCAGCATCTTCGAGAATGTACAAACGGTTGAGATTATCTAAGTCAAACTTCTACCTATTTCGCTCCCTAATGACTAAAACGGCTTTATTTTTATGAAAACTAACACTGGAATACTAGTAAGCTTTAAAATATAATATACAGACGGACTTTAAAAACGCAACATGCATTTTGGTGATTTTTTTTTACCAAATCATGATTGTTCCTCATATAACTACTAGTCATGCTAACCATACTTCTTTCTGATTAGAAAAATTCAATACCTGACTTACCTGATGTTATTGAACATACCGGATTATTGAAGAGTCACGAATTTCTTAAAACGAAATTATAAACCTATTACTGATTTGTTAAAGGTTGTTTTCTTCGTGAAATAGCTTTTTCAATCCATACCCTCACATAATTCAGTAAAAAAATGTTGCATCTCCATATTGCCGAGACTGAGCAATGAAAATCAAGCCATAAGAATATTGCAGGTAGGAATACGTGAACGTGCTGTTGCCAGACAATTTCACGTCAGAAATTCGTCTTGCTGTCCTTACAACAAAGATGGCACAAACAGAACTCAAAATATGCCCAACAGAATTGGTTGACCTTTCTGACAATCATTTTTCGTTGGATATATAC